CAATATTTCATTTGAGAATTTTCATTTAATAATGTGTTTCTTTTCATATGTGATGTCATTTNAAGCTGCACCAGTTTCAGAGCAAGTAAACACCCACTCAGATCATACACCTTCCTCACTGCCTCCAGAGGAAACAGTGAACAGTCATCAGGCACAGAGAGCATGAGGAGTAAACCTGCTCTCTCTGTCTGCTTCATGCTCAGGAAGGAGCATCAACAACTCTTCATCGTGGTCAGCGAGACCAGACACTTTAGAAACACATTTCTCAAGTCACAAACTCTAGAAATGATCCCTGAAAGTATAGTCTTAATGTGAGACAGCTCTACAACACACACTAGAGCCACCAGACTGACACTCTGGTCCATGGGAACATGTCTCTGTCCTTGTGTCTTCTCTGTGTCTCCTCTCTCCTCACACTGTGTCCTCTCTCTTTACAATATGATGCCATTTCACAATGGCATTTCATTTCACAATATGATATGACTTTTGGATGTGATGTCATTTAATTCTAAAAGATGGTGTCACTTTAAAGCAGACATGTCAAACTCAGGCCCGGGGGCCAAATTTGGCCCACAACATAATTATATTTGGCCCACAAGATCATATCAAATCTGTATTAGAGCTGCCCACCGCCTACAGATCGACTATAGAGCAGAGATCTATAACCTTTTTTCTGCAGTGAGCTCCTTTACCAAACAAAAATGTCAGAGAGCCACTGTACCAAATTCAGCAGTCGCAAAGAAACTGAGTAAATATAAGAGCCACAGCCTTAGATGGGGAACAGTTAGATCCTTATAAAACATAAACCATTATCCATTTATCAGTGCACCAAATTACACATCAAAATGATACATTTTCAATGGTAATTCATCAAGTTTGACTTATTATGCACAGTACATATCATTTAAAAATACTTTGGCGAGTTATTTGGAAGAGGATGGAGAGTTACTGGTAGCTCCTGAGCTACAGGTTGGAGACTCCTGCTATAGAGACATTATTTATTTAAATTTTAGTTATTGTTTTATATTCTGCTTGTTCTGGACTCAATGTCTAAGCAAAGCTTATTAAACATTTATTTCAATAAGTAAATAATTTTTTAAATAAATATTTAATTTGGCCCATCACTTAGTCCCAGTTTTGAAGTTTGGTCTCTGTGAATTTGAGTTTGACACTCCTGCTTTAGAATGTGATGTTATTCCAGTAAAGACTTTGATTCCATGTCACTGTTTTAGGACACACACACTAGGACTTTAGAACCTTGTCGTGTTCAAACACTATTGTGTAGGTTCTATGTTCCACACTCACATTTGCACATCTGAACTGTGCCACGACCCGATAACGTCATCACACGGTGCCATTTGTTTACATGTTCTAATGCTTTTAGAGGTGGAAAGAAGTCCAGCGGCAGGAAAATCTGTTAAATAGTGAGACAGATGTGCTTCCTTTTATGATACACACTCCTCCTGAGTTTATGGAGATAGAAACAATGTGGAGCAGTGAGAACAGCCAGACACCAGACGCTGCTAAACTCCTGTCACAGTCCTTATTGAAATAAGCACAGATTTTATTCACTGTTTTCTTCCTATCAGTAATATAGTATAGTACATGAGTATAGTATATGAGTATAGTACATGAGTATAGTAAAGTCATGTGTGTGCATGTACACATGAAACTGTGTCACACTTGAGCACAGTTCAATTGCACTCAGACTGAACAAACACACCACACTGCAGGGACAGTCAGAGCTTGGAGACAGTTCCAAAATCTTCTGAGAATTTATTTGAAGTTAAGCTACACCATCTTCAGAACAAGTAAACACCACTCAGATCATACACCTTCCTCACTGCCTCCAGAGGAAACAGTGAACAGTCATCAGGCACAGAGAGCATGAGGAGTAAACCTGCTCTCTCTGTCTGCTTCATGCTCAGGAAGGAGTATCAACAACTCTTCATCGTGGTCAGCGAGACCAGACACTTTAGAAACACATTTCTCAAGTCACAAACTCTAGAAATGATCCCTGAAAGTATAGTCTTAATGTGAGACAGCTCTACAACACACACTAGAGCCACCAGACTGACACTCTGGTCCATGGGAACATGTCTCTGTCCTTGTGTCTTCTCTGTGTCTCCTCTCTCCTCACACTGTGTCCTCTCTCTTTACAATATGATGCCATTTCACAATGGCATTTCATTTCAGAAGAAGATTCCATTTTAGAATGTGATTTCATTTAATAATGTGATTTCATTTCAAAATAAGACGTCACTTTTGGATGTGATTCCTTTTCAGAATGTGATGTCGTTTAATTTCACAATCCTATTTCATTTAATGTGATTTAACTTGAGAATGTGATTTCATTTAATAACTCAGTTTCATTTTCAATGTGATGTCATTTAATTTTAGAAGATTGTGTCACTAGAATGTTAAGTATTTTTTAGCGTGATTTGATTTCAGAATGTGACGTCATTTTAGAATGTGATTTCATTTCAGAAGAAGACGCACTTTTGGATGTGATTCCTTTTCAGAATGTGATGTCAATTAATTTCATTTGAAAATGTCATTTTGTTTGAGAATAATATTTTATTTCAGTGTGCTATTTTATTTTGAATGTGATGTTATTTAATTTCAGAAAATGGTGCCAATTTATAATGTGAAGTCATTTTTGAAAGAGTCTTACATGCAATTCAGCATGTCATTTCATTTTAGAATGTGATTTAAATTTAGAAAGTGATATCATTTCACTAAAGAAAATGCCTCCATCTAGTTTTAAGGGTTTTATTTACAATTATCCACCAGTTGTTTCTGTATTAATGGGGAATCAACATGTCCAGGGGTGAGGGAGTTGGTTCAAAAGTTTGTTTAAAAGGTTGTCGAGAGCTTGTCCAGAGGTCCAGGTGTTTGGTTGGGCTAGTGTGGCTCCATGGTGGGCAATCGACAGTTGGTGTGGCACTCTGGCCCAGCGTGCCCCCGTTTCACCCATGAAGCTGCTGACAAGTCTCAAAACAGCCCGGGGACTTCATCTGGACAGAGACACAACAGGGTGTGAGAGAACATCACAGACATTTAGTTAAAACAACAAAATGAAATCCAGTCCACATTCAGTCTAACACTAGTTTCCCCTTAACATTTATAATGAATATAATAAGTGAATGTGTGAGCTGCCTCCTACTGACCTGGACAGAGACACAACAGGCTGTGAGACAGACTCATGGAGAAGGTTCACAGGGTTTTTAAACAATAAGCACCGCCCCTTTTCAAGTTGCCAATTACATGACCATTGGTCCACACCAAACAGTAAAACCACACCCATTTAAAGCAGCAGAGGAATGATTCTCTTACCCCGTTACAATTTCATTTAATAACATGATTTCGTTTCAGAATGTGATTTCATTTCAGAATAGGATATCACTTTTGGATGTGATTCCTTTTCAGAAGGTGATGTCATTTAATTTCAGACTGTGATTTTACTTCAGAATGTTATTTCATTTAGAATGTGAAATTATTTAATTTTACAAGATGGTGTTAGTTTAGAAGTTGAACTCATTATTTTTATGTGATTTTGTTTTAGAATGTGAGGATGTTTAATTCCAAAATGTTATTTTATTTGGAGCACTACTTAAATGCACATTAGGATGTTATTTCAATTACTGAAGTGTTTGAAAATCAGTATCCCAATTTTAAGACAGTAAAGCTGCACCAGTTCCAGAACAAGTAAACACCACTCAGATCATACACCTTCCTCACTGCCTCCAGAGGAAACAGTGAACAGTCATCAGGCACAGAGAGCATGAGGAGTAAACCTGCTCTCTCTGTCTGCTTCATGCTCAGGAAGGAGTATTAACAACTCTTCATCGTGGTCAGCGAGACCAGACACTTTAGAAACACATTTCTCAAGTCACAAACTCTAGAAATGATCCCTGAAAGTATAGTCTTAATGTGAGACAGCTCTACAACACACACTAGAGCCACCAGACTGACACTCTGGTCCATGGGAACATGTCTCTGTCCTTGTGTCTTCTCTGTGTCTCCTCTCTCCTCACACTGTGTCCTCTCTCTTTACAATATGATGCCATTTCACAATGGCATTTCATTTCAGAAGAAGATTCCATTTTAGAATGTCAATTAATTTAATAATGTGATTTCATTTCAGAAAAAGGTGTAATTGGGGGCCTTGCACCATAACTCTGCTCTAAGCAATGGAAAACTTAGTTATCTGACAAGTAAAGAAAAAAAGTGTAAACATCATAGATCCATGGTAAACAAGCTTACTCTCAGAAGAGGGTTGGCGCCCTCTACTGACAGTAGGTGGAGTATGCTGTAACTCGTTCTAATAGTGGGGAATTGTTTCTTTTCTACAATTTAATTATATAATTTACGTTTTTATGGTTGGAGGTTTGAACAGTGATATTAATTTCCTGAAAACTGTAAAGGTAGCCTAGGTTGACTTTATGAATGTGGTATTTTGCAAAGATAATTATGAAATGAATTCAGAAAGTGCAGACAATAAATCGGTTGACTTGACATAATGACATATTTGTAATCATAATTTTTTTTTTTTTTTTTTTTTTCTTTGAATGAAATAATTAAATGCTTTTACAGTCATTTTCATACAAGCAAAACAAAAGACGTACAAGAGGCACGAGTAGTAACATAAATATACAGGAAAATATGGAATAAAATTGTGGGGGAAAAAAATGAATTTAAAAAAAAAAAAACAGGGATGTTTGAATCACAGTTGTGTGCGAGGTAGAGCTGGAGTTTTCCATTTTTTAAGTTGTTCTACAGTTTTCATAAGTTGTACAGCAGATTTTATTTATTTATTATTTTTCATACATTTCAGAGAAGACAATAACAGGCATAGATCTTTCTGAAAAACATTGAAGTTTTAAAGTTAAAGGGTAAATGAAGTTGAACAGCAGATGGCAGAAAAACGCCTTAGCTGCGTGACGTCATTTGGTAACAAGGAAGACGAGTGCGGCTGTGCGCATGCTCCGTGTGCTCCCGTCTCGTCCGCAGTTTCCGTATGTGAAACCGACATGGACACGTAAAGTCTATCGCCAGTTCCACCCCATCGGCGGCTTGATCCTGATGACTGACTGCACCGCCGGCTTTCGGAAGTAGCCACGGGTTTCTAGAGCGAAAGGCACAATGGTGAGTTATGTGTTTTCTGTCTAAAACACGAGAGATGCTAACATGCGGGCTAGCTGTAAGGTGAACCGTTCCAGGAAGTGCTCACCTGGGTTTGTGTACCTGAGCAGAGCAGCGGGGAGCTAACAGGCCCACAGGCACACCAAACTAACGCGAAAAGGACAAGAAACATGGACTAAGAAACAGGTTTAAAATGGACTGGTTCATTTTTTATTTCGAGATTGTGCCAAGAGAGAAACAATAATCATACACATACAACATTACACATTATAAACAACAGAAAAGCACATTTCTCGAAAAGGAGCTGGAAGAAGAAAAAAAAAAAAACTTATATTAACCCACCTCTGTTCATGACATAGTTTTAGAAATGATGTGCTTTCTTATGTACATTGACAGAGCTGTATTAAGCCAGTGTGGTTCCCCTGGGCACTATACCTCACAGGTGCCCTCCCCCAGCACCAACTATACTCATGGAAGCATATTCAAATGTCTCAATTAAAAATTAACTTAACAGCATCCAAGTGTCAAGTAGCATCCAACTATAGATTATACAGTACATGATGACTACTGTATATGTATTCAGTACATGAAGGGGCAAGTTATGTATGGCCATTTAACATTTTGAAGTGAATAAGATACAAATTTACAAAAAATATTTTAAGTTATTTTGAGAATAGTTTGAGTCATGTAGTGCTCCCACCTACTGGTTGTGGATGGTTGGTGCCCCTGGGCACTGTGCCACTGGCCCATATGGATAATCTGGCCTTGACATTGATCATGGAACTTTACAAATATTTACATATAGCAAATGTCTAGAGTAGAGTAGGTTTGGTTTAGCATTGCAGATTGAACTTCCATGGACTGTAGCTTGAGTTGACCCTTCCTCATTTGTGTGCTTATTTTCCAGATGAGAGCAAGTGAAATGTCGAGTTAACCTGCACATGTGTAAATATAAGTACAGGATCAGGACCAATATTTGTGGTGTAATAGCCTGGAAATAATACTGGTTTCTCCTGACTGCACATGGGAGAAAACCAACCTGTTGTGTCACTCTCTATCAGACCTGGACAGTGTCCAGCTCTCGGGCCACATACAGACCTTTGGTTGAGTCTGACCAGCCTGTTTAAGATAATTTAGAATTACAAAATAAACATATTTTATAATTTGACCTCATGCATGGACTAAAGCTGCATTGTTTTTATTTTAGATGTGTTTTTAAATGACATTTTTTATAAGGCGGCCTCACTTTTTCATTGCTTAGTCATAACATAAACTCTTACCAGTCTGAGCAACTCATCAAAACAGTCATATGTACTGCTTTTTAAAATATTAATATTATGCAGAAATTAGTTAAGCATTTTGACCCGGCCCTCCACAATATTTTCTGTTTCTCATCTGGCCCCATGGAAAAAAATAATTGCCCACCCCTATAATCACATTGTAATGATCCCCATGTCTAGACATTTTATTCTATTTAGCATTTGACCTTAACAGTATTCAATTAGAAAACCAAATTGCTCTATCACTTCAGACAAAATCAAACTAGTATAGAAATGTTTACTATCTTTCCTCCTGACAATTTGTAAAATTCATTTCTAGGATCATGATTATTGTGACGAGAAACTATTGGTTGTTTTATTATTTGAGCTAATTTATCCTGATTATAGTTGTGGATACGATATTTACCTTGATGTATTGGCCACAATACGATTCATATCTCAATACAGTGCACTTTCAACTTGATAGGATATGTTTCACATCAATTTGATTGGTTCAATAAAAAATAAAGGCTAAATCATGGCTGTGATACTAAAAGTCTTTGTTAAACTACTTCTTGTGCAAAGTTCATATGAAACACACCCATTTGACTCATCAAAACAGTGAAAATGCCAAATAAATGAGTTTCCTTCGTCTAATCAAGCAATAAAAGTGTAGCTGTAACAAAATAATTGAGTAAAATATACCATAAAATACTCTTGGTGAAATATCGATACAGCAGCCCAGGATGTCAATACTGTATCATCACATTAAACGATACGATATATTGATATTTCAGTAATTTTGCACATCTCTGTTTATAACAGACAAATTAGGTGCCTTCTTTCCCCCGGGGTTGCTCCCGCTCGTGTTAGCAACAGGTTGGTGGCGTTGTTAAGTGCCTGCTCCCTGTCAGCGCAGCAGTGCTGGTGGGAGGGGGCGTTACCTTTGACGGCCTCATTCCGGATCGGCTCCTTGGTCGCTGTGATACTTGTGGTCGGAATTCCAAATATAGAACTTGACTCCAAATTTGCCGCTATAACTGCAAGCCTCAATGAGCTTCATTTGACTGGAACCAAACACTATGGGTGTCACCATTCTTTGTCCATTTCTTTATACAGTTTATGGGTGCAGCTCATGCCTTTTAATGATTCAGTTAAAAGAAGGTTTACTGGAATGATCTTGCTTTGTGTCAGTGGCATTAGGCAGTTACAAATATTATATGTACTTGTAGTATGCAGTGAAAAATGCACCAAACTGTTAAGCGAACTGGAAAAGCAATGTATAAGACAAATTCATTATTATTATTATTATTATTATTTATTCTGATATTTTTCTGTGTCGCACTTCAAATTGTGCAATCATGACAGCCTCATTTGTATTTAATATGTTGGTGTAAAGATTCTTCTAAAATTCTATGATTAATGGGCAAATGTATTTAAAATGTAAGAATATCATAAGAATGTCATATGAATCTCTGTTCTCTTGTGCATTATAAACTATTCCCCTGATGGTGGTGGTGGTTGTTGTTGTGTGCAGATGCGGTTTATGCTGCTGTTCAGCCGCCAGGGGAAGCTCCGGCTGCAGAAGTGGTACATGGCCACAGCCGAGAGGGAGAAGAAGAAGATGGTGAGGGAACTCATGCAGATCGTCCTGGCCCGAAAACCAAAGATGTGCAGCTTCCTGGAGTGGAGAGACCTTAAGATCGTCTACAAGAGGTGACGTGGGTCTGGTTATGTTATACTACCAGTCACAAGTGTGGACACTCTTTTTCATGTATTTTATTTACATTATTTATTACTGTTATTTACACAGTAGAGTCTTATTATGAATGAATGTAGAAACAAAAAAATTGACTAAAAAAACTCCACACTTTTAATAATTTTTTAAAAAGCCACCATTTGAGATTTAAATTTAAAATATAAAAAATATTTAGTCAAGTTATTTAGCTTTTTATCTTTATGGCATTATTGCATATATCTTACTTAATATGTTTTAAGTTTCCCGTGTGTAAGCGTAACGAATAAAAAACACACTGAATGAGAAAGTGTGTCCATGCTTTTGGCTGGTAGTTTAGATTTTCATTACGAATATGTTTTACTAGAGCAAAATCCTGTGATAAGGTCTCAATGTTTCCCTTTGAATTTGATTTGAATATTTCAGTCTCCTACATAACCTACCTTTTTGTTACAATGTTACTTTTACTTAGTTGTTACATAATAATAATACAATGAGTAACAAATGTGATTGTGTTATGTTACTTCTGTCTACATACTACAGATGAAACTTCTGAAAGCCTTGTGGCTAAATCTGATGCATTTGCAGGAATGTTCATTAATCTGCACTCTCCCTGCCAAATCAATAAATAAATACATCAAAAATAATTTAGTCAAGGTTCTACCATAGGTTCGACCATACTTCTCTATTAAATGTGACATCTAAAGATTACTGTTGATTGAATTACCTTACCTTAATCAGTTAACCTTTCCAGAAGGAGGAAGTACACCTTTGCTCCAGTTATTCATACATTTGGATTTGGAGAAGCTGTGTAATTGTTACTTGAATTTGATCATTTACTGGTACTTTTGATTACAAAGTAAAGGTCACTTAAATGATTCCATGTTTCGTTTGCCACATTTACATGAGAACTTTAATTCCAAATAAAAATAATTTGGTTTGAATAAAAATGAATTCTGCTTTAAAAAGGACCATGTCCGCTTAAAAAGACATTCCATTTATTTCCAAAGTAAGTGGGTGGTTTATGCCGATTTTCTGATCGATCATGTAAACGCTCATTCTTCTTAAAAATAACGTCGGTGGTTCAGCGCATGCTCGTTGTGTCACCCTTCTGACACGATCCGGATGATCTGGCTCCAGTCCTGGCTTCGGACTTTCATCCACGTCTCATTGGATTTGTGAGTGGGATGCAGGAGTGGGCTGAGGTAGAGCAGCCTCACACTCAGTTTGTCTTCTTCCTCTCTTCTGTGACACTCTTCCTTTCTCTTCCTCAGCTGACAGACATAAAGCATGATGAGAGAATTCTCCAGCTGCTGTGCAATTATCATCAGGACCACTGCGGAGAAATCATCATGGATCATGTTTGTGTCCTTGGCATAACCCCCAGACGCTGAGAGAAATTAAAAGACGATTTGAGTTTTCCATGTAAACCTCAATTCAGAATTATTATTGCCACGTAAACGCGAAAGAGAATATTTTAATTCCAAACTATTTAATTCAGAACAATTAATTTGAAATTAAAAAACATCATGTAAATGTGGCCATTATCTGGTGGTGACACAGTGGTGCGTCGGTGAACACTCTGATTTACTACATATTTCCTTTGAGGGAAGCAAGCCAGTAAGAATTACACTGCATAATTGAAACTGTTTTCACTGTAAACATGACATTTCTTCTGAATCTGGGCCTTTCTGTGTGGAGTTTGCATGCTCTCCCTGTACCTGCTCTGATCCCCCACCAATAAAATCATGTACAATAAGCTATTTCCTCTGGAACCAGGACTCTTGTGAAAGAAAGAGGTTCTGAATGTAATTAGTTCTGGATTGTTTGCAGATATGCCAGTTTGTATTTCTGCTGTGCGATAGAAGAACAGGACAATGAGCTCATCACGCTGGAGGTCATCCATCGCTTTGTGGAGCTCCTGGACAAATACTTTGGCAGTGTAAGTGTTCTCCTCTCAAGTGGGCTTATCTGCATCTGCTCTCTTCACGTGTCCTCCGCTCTCTTCACGTGTCCTCTGCTCTGTCCTCTGCTCTCTTCACCTGTCCTCTGCTCTCTTCACGTGTCCTCTGCTCTCTTCACCTGTCCTCTGCTCTCTTCACGTGTCCTCTGCTCTCTTCACGTGTCCTCTGCTCTCTTCACCTGTCCTCCGCTCTCTTCACCTGTCCTCTCGCTCTCTTCACCTGTCTTCTGCTCTCTTCACGTGTCCTCTGCTCTCTTCACGTGTCCTCTGCTCTCTTCACCTGTCCTCTGCTCTCTTCACGTGTCCTCTGCTCTCTTCACGTGTCCTCTCCTCTCTTCACCTGTCCTCTCCTCTCTTCACCTGTCCTCTGCTCTCTTCACGTGTCCTCTGCTCTCTTCACCTGTCCTCTGCTCTCTTCACCTGTCCTCTCCTCTCTTCACCTGTCCTCTCCTCTCTTCACGTGTCCTCTGCTCTCTTCACGTGTCCTCTGCTCTCTTCACGTGTCCTCTGCTCTCTTCACGTGTCCTCTGCTCTCTTCACGTGTCCTCTGCTCTCTTCACCTGTCCTCTGCTCTCTTCACCTGTCCTCTGCTCTCTTCACGTTACCTCTGCTCTCTTCACATGTCCTGTGTGTGTGTGTGTGCAGGTGTGTGAACTAGACATCATCTTTAATTTTGAGAAGGCCTACTTCATCCTGGACGAGTTCCTGATGGGAGGAGAGATCCAGGACACATCTAAAAAAAGTGTCCTCAAAGCCATCGAGCAGTCTGATCTACTACAGGAGGTACACACACAGCACACGGACACATACTCTACTAAGAGTACTTCGACTTCATAAAGAGAAAAAATCTGTAAGAATCAAGCAGCTCTAGTTTAAAGGCTGGTTAAAATGAGATTTTGAACTGGTTGGCTCAAGGTAAAGATTCAAATAATGTAGCTTTACCACTAAATACTATCATAAGACCCTCAGATCTTTTGGAATGCTTGTACTCGGTGTGCCTAGCCTTTTCATTTAAGCCTGTGCCCCATTCAGGCACAGGCTTAAATTTTCATTCTCAGTTTATGGACAGGACAGGTCTCATGTGAAGCTCAGAACTTCCAGAATTCCCTCCCTGAGCTGCAGAGGCTGCACTAGCACTGACTCATGACTGGTGCAGGTGCTGGAGTTCAGGGAGAGACCGTTCAGATCAGAGCGAGGTCTTTTTGTTATAGTTCTGCACATGTTAGGCACATTGGTGTCCATGCCTTAAGTAAGTAGTACAAATATTAGTGTAATACCACTGGAGTGAACTGATGCACTCACCGTAATTCAACCTTTGAGGATTTCAGTTAATTGAGATATTATTTTTTACAATTTTGTTTTGTTTCAAATTTAAATAAAAAAAATATATATTACAGTTGATAACGCTTGACATTAGGGATGCAACGGTAAAGTTTTCCAATGATTCGATACATATCTCAACCCATATATCTGGGTCACGATATCACGATGTAATAATGTACAATGTAATAACACTGTTATTAGTGAAACAATACATACAAACAATACATCCCAGTGCTGTTGTAGTTTATATGTGAAGTGTTTTAGTTCATTTGATTCAGTAAATTAAGAACAAAGTTTCTCAGACAATTTTAGATGTTATAATTTACCAGTTTACTCTTAATATAGACTGCTAGAGGAGTTAAATTATCAGACCTTTCCTTTTTTGAGGATGATTTGATGATTTCTTTTCTTTTCCTCTTGAGTCTGTCTCTCCTCTTACTGCATTGGCCCCCTCCTAACTGTTCCACGCCAAGGCGGTCCCAAGCGCACCACGCCACCTACCCTGCTCTTTTTAAACACTCTGCACTCTACTATCTTCTTCACTCTGTGTCCAGAACTATGTTATATTACGTAGAAATGTCTCAACAGCCCGTTTTCTGAGGGAAACTTATGAGATAGAGAGCATTTGATTAAAGCCGATGTAAAGGTAAAATCGATTCTAAAATAATTAAAAGTTCATACCTTTGTCATTCCTGTCTCTGTCAACGTAAAATAAAAAAACACTAATGTTAGAATATTTCAGCTGTAAGTCCCTATAGAGGAGGACCCCGTGATAACTGTTTTCCTTTTGGACTAAAATAAACAACAACAGAGCGCACATGGAGGGACGTGTGTATCGATCAAACACGTGTATCGAATTGTGACACCAGTATCGAGCGATTTGATATTATATTGAATACCGTTGCATCCCTACTTGATATGTTTGTTACTGGAAAAAAAAAACATTCTACCCTTGTGTGTAAAACCTGTTGGCCTCTGGTTTGTAACCGTGAAGCAGACCGCAGCCTGAGCTCTGGTGTTTATGTATGTGTGTGTGTGTGTGTGTGTGTGTGTGTGTGTGCGCAGGAGGATGAGTCACCGCGCAGTGTGCTGGAGGAGATGGGCCTGGCATAGGGCCACAGCCTGACTCCTGCTCACCCACGGACGAGGCACTAAACCCGGACTCTAACACCAGGAGAGACAGGAGCCACGTGGAGGTACTGCTCTGCTCCTGTCCCGCTCCTGTTCCTCTCGTGTTCTGCTCCTGCTCGTGTGCGCTCGCAGAGGGAGCGCTCTGAATGTCAACTGTCCTCAAAAGGGAGTGACCACCTCTGCAGACGAGGACAGGTCCAAACACCTACTGCATCTTTAAAGGAGAGAGTTTTACGAGTCAGGGATGGGAATTGGTACCAGTTCATTTTATCTACGTTAAAGGTGCATGTAACTTTCCTGCTAGAGTTTACCACCTACTTGTCTCATATAAGGGTCAGTGCTTTGCCCGGAATGTTCCACAGTATGGCATTAAACAGTATTGTATTTACTCGGTTCTGGGTGCTTTTAAAGTTCAAAAATCTTTAAAAATTTTCCATAGATCTGACCTGTAACTGCTGGCACATCTTGCTCAAGTGTAAAGTCATAGTGCAGAACCCTCCAGGCAGAGCTGTACTGTTTCCATGGCGACAAGAAAGTGGCAGACACTCAATCCAGAAAAGTTACATAGCGAATCTTTAAATGGCCCATATGACGCAGTTTTCTGATCTGTGTTATAATGTTGTTTTCTCGTCACAAACAGACCTGGAGTTGTGTTTTGTTTCATTCACACACACACTGAGATGAGTTTTTCTCTCAAACAGAAAACACTCCTCTCCGCAATAATACAGAAAGTGCTCCACTGTGTTTTTAAACTCCATATACCTAGAATCATTTGGATGATTTCAGCTCTGGAATTGCCTATTTCTACTGAACTAAAGGTAAAAGGTAGCCATATACTTAAAAACTACCACTTCATGACATCACAAGGTGGACCAGAGTATTTTGATGTTTGGAGATGTAGACAGACTAATAATAAATCGTTACTCAAATGTGTGTGAATGAAACAAACACAACTTCAGATGTGTTTTTGAGGAGGTAACAACATTAAAACATGGCTTAAAGCTCACAAGAATCCATTTTCTGTAGTACAGGATAGTTTTATTTTTATTTTATTTATCAGCAATTAATTTTTATCATGAATAATCAATAAGTCGTATCAATTCCCATCCCTATTACAATTTCAGTGCAAACAAGCTTCACTCTCGGCCGCTGCTCGGACAGTGCAAATCTGTACAGAGCTCAAAGGTGAGGCAAAAACTAAATCCTACTCCCCATTGACAATTCCCTTTTTTTGAATTCTTTAGGTTACTGAAGAGACATTTTGCATAGACAATTTTGACTATGTGAGATTTGAATGGATCAGTAAATAATGATTGAATCTCACATTTAAAAGAGCTGTGCATAATTACTACTGTTTTAAAGGGCCTATATCTGTTTTTTTACACATGTATTTGAGCAAAACGTGTCTTGCCCCAGTACGGATATATCGTACAAGCAGCTCAAAATATGTCCAGAACTCATCTCAGTGAATAATTGGGATTCCTCAGATGCGTTAGGAAAGTGAAAGTAGTTTTTTTTTTTTTTTTTCACTTTTTAAGATACTTGGTCTATGTTCAGACTGCAGCCTGAAGTGACCCAAATCTGATTTTTTTTTTTTTATTGAATTGTTAGAATTTTTTTGTTTGGAGGATAAGCCCCTTGAGATGTCTTGCCATCTCATTTTCAAGGGGGTCCTTATAAATACAACAACAAAAGACAGATACAGTAGGGCAGACAGTAGGATAAATAAATTCAAATAAACATCAAAACAACAAAATCAACACAACTACAATCACACACACACACACACACTCGACTGTTTGACATATAATAAAACAAGTTTGAGGAAAAAAAGAAAACTAAAACAGAGTTCAAAGATTATCACAACAAGATGAACAAACAACAAAAATTCAACAAAATAATCAAAAACAATGACATGGGTTCTGTAAATATTGAACCAGAGCATTTTTAAATGAAGGGACAGAAGTTAAAGCACGAATCGAAGAGGGAAGATTGTGCCAATCAGAAGGAGCTTTATATTTAAATGAGTGTTTTCCTATTTGTTTTGCCCCTATGCTCCTGTATCTGATCTTTTAATGACAGTCCGAACGACACAGATCAGATTTTTTCAAATGCGACCCAGGCCACTTGGATATGTGGTCCTAAAACCGATACATATCCGATCTTTTGACATGTGACTTCAGTCTGAACGGCCAGGTCACATTCATCCCACCTACACCAATGTACACAAACGTTCTTCTCATCAGATGAAAATTGTGTCTGAATTCCGTGTCAGTGAAGCAGTGAAGCACTTAACAATCCACCACTCTCAGCTGCGACTCTGCACACGTTTCTACGGACGTCGCTGCCACTGCCCCACAAAACGCCACGGCCAAAAACCTCGTCCTTCTCCTTCTTAATCTCCTTAAAACAAATCAAGCTGTACATGTTCTGGCTCTGGTACGACAGCAGCTTTAAAATCTCTAGGTACAGGGTGAGAATTATGTTCCCTCAGCCCTATGTTCCCTCATTTCTAAGATTTTTCTCGAAGTGAAACTCATATTCAAGTCATTTTTATTTTAATACCACATTTAAAGGGATGATTCAGAGTCATTTCAACCTAGGATCCTTTACACCATGACCTCTACATTACAACTACTGCTGGAGAATAGGTTGAGTGTAATTGACTAACAAATTGGGAGAAATGGGGATCAAATCTGATGCAAATTGATGATAAAGGAAAGGTGGGAAAAGGTTAAAGGAACAAGGGGATGTTTGAACATAGGCACGCTCCCCTCAATGTTAGTGTCCATGTTTAGGCAACTTCCGTAAACCCTGAGCACAGTCGTCCTGTCCTCCAATGCACATGCGGGACACTTTTGGGCCATTTAAAGTTCACACTGGAGATCACACACAAGTCGCATTTAATCGGAAATGTGAACGAGCTCGCAAAAAAAATCTCATTTCACAAAAAAATCTGAATTGAGCATTAAGCCCTGCAGTCTGAACGTAGCCTTAAAATCAGGTTCGGCTTCTTAAACTACGTGAAAAAATAGATCCAGTTCGCAGCGGCCGTTAAAGTCGCAGTATAATTCGTCTCATTTTGGCCGTAATAGCTGCTTTTTTAGGGTGAGACTCGTTTTATTTTAATACATGAAAAAAAAATCAGGTACAGCCCTTTTAAAAATATATGCATTTTTAATTGAGTATTTTATTTTATTTTTTTGACTAATTATTTTAATGGCTAACAATCATGGTGTAGGCGGTTGGAGTGCAGAACTGGTCTGGTGGGTCCATACATATATTTGTGTGTTTTAGTTATAGGCACCATTTTGAGGACTTTTGCCCAGTAGATCATTTTATTTAGATAAAGACATATATATTTTGTTGGTTTTGAATTGGCCACTGTTACTATGGCAACCCTCTCCATCCTTTATCACTCTAGTAACCATGGCTATAATGAATTTTAGACTATATAGTGCCCATGCTGACCTAGTGGCCTCTCTGGTTGAAAATGCATGTATTCTGATTTTGTAAAGGTATTTTATTACAGCTGCTTATGAACAAATTGTTAAATAATAGTTTGAGGTACTGTCCAGTGACGAAGGGGTGGTACAGGGAGAAAGTTCCGTAGGCTGCATTCTCTCGACGTCACAACTAGGACTGGATTTTACTGGATTTTTGAGATGGTTATATTCTTGTTTAGTCCTGCTTTGATTTTTGGAATTTGTCCTGTTTTAGAGCATAGTCCTGGTTTAGTTCTGAATAAGTCCTAGTTTTTTAGATCCGGTTTTCTTCCGGTTAAAGCTGGGTGTACACTGTGTGATTTTTGACTCTTTCTGAGCCAATTTTTCACTCGTGCGACTGTTTTTAGGATCGGGACGAGTTTTGGCTCAATCGTGTGTCTTGCTGAACTGATTAATACTTCACGACCAGCTCCAAATCGGCAATCATTGGTTGCAAGAATATCGTGAGGGTTTCGTCTGTTGAACTGGTTCGTTTAGTGTGAGAACCTGAATCGTGAGCTGTGAATTTTTAAACCCTGCGATTTGGTCGTACAGTTTGAGCTGAAGCAGAGTGAAACGATCGAAAATATCGCACAGTGTCCGTCCAGCTTAAATCATCTCAAAACTTCTGGGAAAGTCTGTGATTTAGTCGTAGTTCTTAAGACTTGGGATCTCTTCTCATAAAGTCCATTTTATTTAAGTTATCATTAACAAAATAATGTATTGTACTTGTGAATCAAAGATACTTCTGAGATGGAACTCAGATTGAAAAGTTTGTGAATTTTGGATCAAAATTCTAAATGGAAAATGGCTGCAGTTATCCTACCCATGCATTTATGAATGTAATCCAGTTTTCATTTTTTAATTAGTTCACTCGCTTCTGTTCATATATTTACTTTTTTGGACCTTTAAAATTGTATCTAATAACACGTTTGCACTATGAATAATATGATTCCTCACAACATGTAAAGCTAGCCTTCCTGATGGACAGTTTGTTACCTGCTTCTCTCCATGAAGGTGTACTGACCTGGAAAGTTCCACAGTATGGTATTAAATCTGGCAGTTAGTCAGCAGGCATGTCTCAAAGCAAACAGTCACTTTTATAAAAATTGTAAAACATAAATTAAACAGTTGAGGAGAAGGGATGAAGAAGACAAACTGAGTGTGAGGCTCTACATCAGCCCACTCCCGCATCCCGCTCACAAATCCAAAGAGACTTGGATGAAAGTTTGAAGTCAGGACTGGTGGAGTCAGATCATCCGGACGCCACCAGTGACGCAAGTCAGAAGGGCAACGCAACGAGCATATGCTGAACGACCAGAATTATTTTAAGAATAAACATTTACCGTTTTTGTGCACTATAGAGCTCTCTGGATTATAACGCGCGCTGTCATTGAATGGTCTATTTTTGAACTTTTTTCACATATAAACTGCACCAGACTATAAAGCGCATTAAACGAAACACAACAGTTAGATAAATCAGTCAAACTTTATTTAACACGTTCACAATAACTCTCAACTTTGTTCAGTTGTAACATGTAAAAAAATACTGTCTGAGACACTAAATTGTTAGAATATTCACAATAAGTCATAATTGTTCAAACACTTGGGTGATTACGGCATCCAGCACGTCCACATCCCTCTCGTCATTATCCGAGTCAGTGCGGTTACTGTTACCTGGCAGTTCAGAGATGATTCCGGTCTTCCTGAAAGCTCAGACCACAGTTGATATTGATCCTTAGCCCAGGCGTCCACAATTCATTGGTACGGTACTACGGGAGCCGTATTGCTGCAAGTGGTGCGGCTTTGTAGTTTACGAAAGACACCCCAATGAATTCATATCTAAGGCGCTCTGGATGATAAGGCGCACAGTCGTTTTTTGATGAAATTAAAGGCTTTTAAGTGCGCCCTATAGTGCGGAAAATATGGTACATGATCGAGGAATAAATTAATTCAGCTTTAAAATCAGAATAAACCACACACTTAATTCCTAATGAAAACGATTATTTGGAATTCAACTTAATTCGGAAGTAAGTGTTTACATGGTACTTTTTAAAGCAGAATTCATTTTTAGTCAGAATTTTATCATTTTTATTTAGAATTAAAGCTCTCGTGGCAAGTGTGCATCTAACAGTGAGGGCACAGACGGCTCCTTTAATCAGAAAATGGTGCCTACAGTTAGTTATTAAGCGTATTATTATGAAGGCATATTAGATATTGAAACACCAACAGAAATCGCCGGTTACAAAGTATAAACATCATCAAACATTTTTCGCCCCAGAACTCGTCATCCTCCTTTTTGACAACCCCAATCTAGTTGCCCTATCTAAACAATACTTTGACAATACTGTGACTGCCACCCAGGTTCATACTGTGGAGCAATCCAGGTGAAGCACTTACATCTCTGAGCAGGCAAACAGGTTGACTCTTCACAAGAAAAGTTGCATAGTGCACCTTTTAAAAGCAGCACACGGCAAAGCGCACCAGAGTATATTTGCTTAGCTTCCTTTGTCCTATAATAGAATGTGAACATGAAATTCTAACTTACTCCTAGTTACTTCCATCACCTGTTTTGAATTGTGTATCTCTTTATATCCTGCCTTTTACTGTAATGTTGATCTATGCCGTTTGAATGACCACACCTTTACGCCTTCACATTTAAGCCTTCTATTTGTTTTGTGCATTACAACACTCAAAGGCACTGTACCTATTTTTAGCAAGGCATCAAAAACAGAACTAGTTTGTTTTAAACAGTTGGCAAAGTTCTTCTTCAGTTACTGTATTTTTCAGACTATAAGTCGCTCTCCGGAGTAGAAGTTGCAGCAGCCAAAAAATCTGTAATGAAGAAGAAAAAAACATAGATGTCGTACCGGACTATAAGTGGCACTTTTTGTGGGAAATGTATTTTATAAAATCAGAGACCAGGAACCTACAACTTCTAGTAATAACAATAGAACAGAGAACAGACTGTTAACGTCACATATGAACAGGTCTTCAGATATCTATAACATAAACAACAGAACAGAACAAGTTTAACAAACTCTCCATCTCACTCCAAATCACTAAATCCATTCAATTCTTCATCCTCGCTGTCACTTCTGAACAACTCGGCCTCGACCTCCGCAGGTAAACAGAGCGCCGCTTCCTCTTCTGTGTCGCTGTCGTCAGACTCAGCATCAGTTCCAGTTAGAATTATTCGGGTCTTTCTGAATCCTGACAGGATGGTTTCAGTGTCACTGAAGTCCAGGGTTTGTCCATCCATCCAGTGACTTCAGGAAAGTTTCATGGTGCATCCTCCCAGTGTCACAAGTTTCTCACTCACTCCAAACTTTCTTTCTGCTGCTCGATTACCATTTTCATGTATATTCAGTGCAGTTGTCCTTATAAGTTTGTTTGAATGTTAAATTGTTCAGTGGTGCAGAAGTAATGGTGCGATCGACTGACATGATACAAACAGGACAGTGGCTCTTTCTGCAGGAGACATGTGCAGTAGAGTGAAGTGACAGTGGTACAGGAGGAACAGGAGCAGCAGATACTCACACACAAGACTAGCGCGCCCTCTCTTGGCTGTCAGTGTGAACATTTTAATATGTAAGTCACACCAGAGTATAAGTCACAGAAGACACCCAAACCATGAAAAAAAGTGCGACTTATAGTCCAAAAAATACAGAACCTTTTGATTTCTGAACATCCTAATTGCTCACCACGATAAGTTTCGAAGTGCTTTTCGCAAGATTGGAGTTTTGCCATAAACTTAAGACTAAGAGCAACTAACATGCTAACAGTGCACTTCCTTATATTTTGATGCAAACACTACTCATCAGACGTATTTTGACCAAGTACCTTGCTGTGCCTTGGCGAGGTACATTTTGCTCCAATGGTACAGGGCCTTTAAGCTGCTTATTCACGAGAATGGTCAGACATAAAGATATTTTTTTTTATTTTTAATTTTTCCAGTCAACATATTATCAAAAAAATCCTATATCAGTTATCGGTTGTGGCCCAGCCTTAACGATATTTTCCAATATCAGTTTGGATTGTTAAATATCTACAGCAATGCCACCAAAATTGTTAAAGGGCCCCCATGACGCTATTATGTGATCTATGTTGTAATGTTTCTTCAGCACAAACAGACCTGGAGTTGAGTTTTGCTTCATTCACACATGTTTAGGCTCAGTTCTCTCAAAAAGAAAACACTCTGTTCCAACTTGTGATGTCATGTGGTGATACAGGAAGTGCCCCATGGACTTTTACTAGAATCATTTGGATGATTTCAACCCTGGAATTGCCAATCTCTACTGAACTAAAAGTAAAAAGGAGCGGGGGGTGGTCTGGCCTCTGGTTCTGGTTCTGGAGGAGTGGGAGTTGGTCCGGGCTCTGGTTCCGGAGGAGCGGGTGGTGGTCTGGGCTCTGGTTCTGGAGGAGTTGGGGGGGTAGTCCGGGCTCAGGCTCTGGTTCTGGAGGAGCGGGTGGTGGTCCTCTGGCTCTGGTTCTGGAGGAGCGGGTGGTGGTCCTCTGGCTCTGGTTCTGGAGGAGCGGGTGGTGGTCTAGCCTCTGGTTCTGGTTCTGGAGGAGGGTGGGTGGTCCAGGCTCGGGCTCTGGTTCTGTTGGAGAGGGGGGTGGGTCGGGCTTGGGCTCTGGTTCTGGAGGAGTGAGGGGTGGTCCGGGCTATGGTTCTGAAGGAGTGTGGGCGGGGTAGTCTGGGTTCTGGTTCTGGAACTTAAAAACTACAACTTCATGACTTCATAAGATGGATTGGAGCATTTTGAGCTTTGCTGGTGTGGACAGACTCATAATAAAGTGTTACTCAAACATGTGTGAATGAAACAAAACAACTCCAGGTCTGTTTTTGATGAGGGAACATTCTAACATGTCTTAAACCTCACAAGAGTCCATTTAGTGTAATCTTGGACCTTTAAGTTTGCACGTTAATTATGACAAAGCGTATCTGGGGTAAAGGCTAATATGATTTTATCAGATCTTCTTTCATGTCTTGTCTGTTTCCACTAACATTCACTAGTCTGTTTAACACAGAGACTGGGGCAGCTTTGAAAATAATATACTGCAAATATCGTGATATTTTTGTGGATATCTTGGGTATTTTATCTACTAATACTGATAAAATATATTGTCTATTCCATAACACATGCAATTCTGCTCTGACTATACTACAGAAAAGTCATGGTGTACCAAGAACAGTTTGGTACAAAGACCTCAAGGGCTGGGATACTTTCTGAATGTGAATAATAGGTTCCATTATGGACAAAAATGAATCTCTTGATAATTTTTCAGAATAATGGTTGTGAATGTTGTAGTGGTCTAGTTTTCTTATATCACAAAATGTAATTATAAATAAATAATGAAATGATTGTACTGTACAAATGTGTATAGAATGCACCGCTAAAAACCACGCTAGCCAATCAAATGATGGAGAGGTTATCCAGTGCAGAGAGCAGATGGAATGTGATATTGATGCTTTGATGTGACATCGCGCTGGGGGTGTTTTACATGTCTCTCTATTAAGGTTTTGCATCTGCCGTATTTTCTGGGCTATTAGACGCGCTCCGCAAAACGAAAAACACCCACAGACACATTCATCACTCCACAAGGACGAGGAACGGAACGGAGGAACGAACCGAAAAAAGCGAGTGCAATGTGCCACTTCTAGACACAACTGAACAACTGAGTCACTGTGAACACGCCAACAATCCGTTGGTCCCAGACAGCACCCTCCCTACACAACACAACTGAACAAAGCCCAGACTCGTGAACGCGACAAACAAAGTCCGACTCACCCATTCAAATGTTTGTGCTTTCTTTAAAGTCTGGTGCAGTTTATTTGTGCAAAAAAGTTTGAAAATAGACCATTTAATGACAGTGCGCCTTAAAATCCAGAGCGCCTAATAGCCCGGAAAATGCGGTATGTTACAAAAGCTCGTAACCTGTTGTTTATGCTGCCATACTGGAGGTCAAACTATCTATCTGGACTAAAGTGTAGTATTTGTGTGTGATAAAATAAGAATAATGCGCTGTACAGGCCGACAAGGAATCGCCCCCTCAATTTCCACCGCCCTTGAGACCTACGGTTCTGATTTTGACGCCCCATTCTAATTCCCCTAGGAACAGATGTGATGGTTTGGTGATCAACAAAGATGTCACGCATAACCCCTTGTAACTTTTCAGTTCTTGGTTGGTGTAGGACGATGAAGAATGAATTAAGTAGTTAGAAATATCTGGATATTGGAGGTTGGGCACAGAGCGAGCGTCGGAATTAGGGATCTATTCCACAACCCAGGAGGACGACTTTAGCGTTATATCTTTCTAATGACGGCTGATCTAATGAGCTGGCAATTTCGGACAGTTTTATGTTGTTTGCGCTCTTTAAAGTAGCCATGATTATATTGTAGTAACTGAGTAACGCCTTCCGGATCAACCCCAATCGTGACCTCCAGTATGGCCGCCAAAACATTAAGTCACTGAACTGCCACATCACACGCAAATCCTTAATAGTTGTTCAGCAGTAGACCTTTTTCACAACATCTGGAAGCGATGTAGGGTTGCGGAACTTCCCGTTAATGGTTTTCTATGGCAAAATGTGTGTCGTATTCTCCTGCAGCTTCATAAATCTGCCCCATCACCAAATCTTCAACCAACAAGCTCCACAAAGGATAAACATTCTGTCCATGAAGAATTTATCCACAACTATCAAGGGAAGAAAGACAAAAACTTAAAGGAGAACAACGACGACGCATTAGTGACACACTGAACAAAACTAATATTATGGTCATGAATTAAACAGAAGTAACTGATTCTAGAATTAAAATTTGAAAATCGATTTCATGATTCACATAGACCGAGAGATTTGTGCAGTTCGAATGCGAGACATCTCTAGGACCATAAGATTCGTTTTGCTCAGTGGTTCATTAATGCGTCATCGTTGTTCGCCTTTAAGCTTTCATCTTTCTATCAATTCAATCAGTAAATAACTTGATTGATCCCAAAATGCAATTCAATGTACACGTCTCTGATCATGCACAATCCATAAATAAATAAAATAAAAAAGAAAAACGGATACATAAACACACGCCATACATTCAAACCTCAGTGCATCAGGAACACAATAGCACATTAACTTTATATTTAAAAGCTTTATGGCAGAAGGAATAAAAGATTTAGCGTCGCGGTTGGTCTTCTGTTGTTCGGTGACATATCCTCCCAGAGGACATGGTTAGGCTGGCTCAGTATGGCCTTAGTCTACGTTTATATGACGACGGTCTGAACAGAAGACGCAAAAGTGGCGTCGCGCCTTCACTTTATATTCCGCGTTTAGACAAGCTTTTTAGGAGGAAATCTGCGTGCATACGGTGACGCAAAAGTGTGTGGAATTCGATTGTGTACACATGCCAGGTGGTTAGGTCATAATGTATGTGACGTAAACGTGTCCGCGACCTGAGCAGAGTTTTGCGTCTTGGGCAGTGTAGACGGAAACGCTACGGCGGAGTGTATTCAATGTTTTCAGATTTTTGCGTCTCTATTCCCCAAAAACGCCGTCAGTGTCTAAACGAAAGGCACTTGTGATAAAATATTTTGTCGTTTTTACTCACAAGCGTTCTCGTGCAAACAGGCCCTTAGTCTTTTGGAGCATCCTTTGTGTCCACTAGGTATGGGTATCATTAAGAAGTTGCTGATACAATACATACCTCGATACACAGGCCACGATACGATACATATCTCGATACAGTGCACTTTCGGTTCGATACGATATATTTCAATTCGATTCGATACAGTTCAATAAAAAACAAAAGCTAAATCATGGCTCTGATACTAAAAGTGTTTGTTAAACCACTTCTTGTGCCCATTTTAATCATCAAAACAGTGAAAATGTCAAATGTGTCACATAAAAAAAGATTCCTTCCTCTGAACAAGCAACAAAACGGTAGTGCTGTAACAAAATAATTAGTGAAAAGATACCCCAAAATACTCTTGGCGATATATCGATACAGCTGCCCACGATATCGATACTGTATCATCACATTAAACCATACAGTATATCGATATATCAATATTTTTGCACAGCCCTAGTCTCCACACAGAGACCAAATCCTCCATCGAAACACACACACTCATTTTGCCACACACTTAGAAGAATGTTTATCCTTTGTGGACCTTGTTGGTGATGGGGCAGATTTACGAAGCTGCCGGAGAAGACGCCAGAGATTGACACATACATTTTGCAACCGATAACCATCAACCAGAAGTTCCCCAAACCTACAGCTCAGCACTTCCGGATGTTGTGAAAAAAGTCTGTTACTACGGTGACACAATGCACACATTAGCACACACTGTCAAAAAGTTTTAAGGGTGTCTGAAAACTCAAGAGAAAACATAAAACGGATTTAAACAACGTATTTTCAGGATCAGTCCGAGCGTTCGTGGTCCCGTTTAGGTGTTTGGTTTTCAAAAAGGCGAGAGTGACCGACTTAACTTATTCGAAAGGGCGTGCACAAATCATGTCACCTTTTGTATTTCCAGTTAAGTCGGTTCTTTCTGGTCAAAACAAAACTCGGATTAGTCTAACTTAGAGTAACAGCGCTTTTGACAGAGCAGTGCTTTCAGTTAACATCACACCCCCAGGCAGCGTTGACGACATCAGCTTCAAAATATCAACGTAACAGACCTATTTTCAACTATTTTCAATATTTATTTTCAACATTCGAGAATTTCTTTTCACTTGTGGTTTAGCTATTTTGGCTGTGGAAGAAAAATCCTTTTTCCATCGACCTTTCGAAAGGTCTAATTTCAAATTTTCTAACCGTATTCATGACAAAAACATGAAATTAAGAGGAATTTTGCTTCCAATTTTAGAACACAACTTTCTGAAAATACCTTATTGTGCTTTTTATTGCTATTTACAAGGGGAGACATGTCAGAATTGAAAGTTGTTTGTTTTTTTGGTTTGGTTTGGAGCCTCTGCTGACGTATATAAAGTGCCCTGTGTGGAATAATGAACTATGCTGTGTAAATGTATCGACCAATGGAACCAGTGTAATTGAACTGAAGTGTGAATGTAATTTTATACCTAATAAACTTTTGAAATGATTTGTGAGTGTTTCTTACACATTACTTTGACAGTGGAGTCATTTAAAGGTCTTTTATTACACAACATTGACTACTGTGAGCTTTTAGTCATGTTGTGTAGTTATGTTTGAGTAATCTTTTATTATTAATCTCTACACATCTGCACTTTGTGATGTCATGAAGCGGTGGTTTTCCCTGTTAAGAGGGACCTTTACTCAGTGTTGGAAAGGTTACTTTTAAAATGTATTCCCCTACAGATTACAGATTACATACCCCAAAATGTAGTTTGTAACATAATCTGAATACTTTGGATTACTTGATATTGTCATGTTTTTTTAAAATGACATGAATGTACCAACCACATCCTGAAAATTCTTAAGTTCTCTTCAAATTGTCTGTTGAGCCCAAGTCTCCATGAACAGATGTTTATTTACTGTAGAGAAACAAAGATCAGGATCTGAACAGAAGAAGTTTTGTCTGTTAAAAGAAAATAAAAAGCCCAGACTTTACTTAACCAAATTAAAAATATTATTGATAGAGAAATTATTTTTATATGAGATCACTGCTGCTTTAAATTATATCCACCTACTGTTAGTGTCATATTGTTTAGACCTGGTTTTAGACCTCGTTTAGTCCTGGTTTTAGACCTCGTTTAGACCTGGTTTAGTCCTGATTTAGACCTTTTAGTCCTGGTTTCCTGGTTTAGACCTCGTTTAGACCTGGTTTAGTCCTGATTTTAGACCTCGTTTAGTCCTGGTTTTAGTCCTGGTTTAGCCCAAAATGTGAAAAGGGAAAATACTGTAATGTAATCCATTTATTTCAACAAAGTAACTGTAATCCAATTACCACTCATGGAAACAGTAACTGTAACTGAATACAGTTACTCATAATGTGTACTCTGATTACGTAACACTGGTACATGTAATCTGTTACTCCCCAACACTGTATTTACTTCAGTAGAGTTAAGCATGTCCAGGAACTGAAATGATTCAAATGTTTCTAGTCAAGGTGTGTGGAGTTTAGAAACACATGGAGCACTTCCTGTATCACCACACCTTCCTGGTTTGTGACGTAAGCGTGAAAAGAGCCTATTTGGAACATGGCGGGTTAGCTAAGTCCATTTATTTACTGTACACAGTCTATGATCAATATTAATAGTATAGTTTTTAGAAAGTGACGAAACTTTGTCAAAGCCTGATCCCGTCAGATCTCAGAGGCTAAGCAGGGCCGGGCCTGGGTAGGACTTGGATGGTTAGGTTAGGTTAGGTTGTTTTATTCATACCAGCAGGTCAGGGGTCTCCAACCGTTTTCCTCCTGTGAGTTACTTATACAAAACGAAAATACCAGAGAGCTACTCATTTTAGCGGCCACAAGAAATTGAGTGAATAGAAGAGCCACGTTAGACGCCTATAAAATATAAACTATTATCCATTTATTAGTGCACAAAGTTAGAAATCAAAATGATACAAGTACAATGGTAATAGATATTTAATGAATCTAATTTGACTTATTCTGGACAATACGTATAATTCAGAAGTCCCTTGGCGAGCTGCTTGGGAGGGGGTAAAGAGCTACTGGTTGGAGACCCCTGCTGTAGGTAGATTTGTTTTGCAGATTTGAGAGGCTGGTCCCACATTTCACATTTCATTCATCCACATTATGAACAATAAACATGTATAAAAACACAATTACAAAATAAAGTGTTACAGTGTGCCAATGTTTAGTTTCATAAATAATGAATTAAATACATGCATCACACTTGGCTAAAATCACAGTAAATATTAAATATATTTTAAAAAAAAACATTTTTCTAAGAGAGTGTACTAAAATTGATACATAAATACATTACAATTTATTCATAAGTACGATAGCAGCTGGAACAAAGCTTATAAAACGATTTGTTCTAGATAGAAAGATCAAAAATGTGGCTGTTTGCTGCAGGAGTTTGCTCTTGGAAAAAGGATCAAATTTAAACACAACAGGACTCCAGTCACTCCAAAGAAGTAAAAAAAAAAAGTAAAAAATCGCATGAGGAAAAATATAGTAAAAGGCCTTTATTTAAGCCCTGATGAAGACCAGTTAAAGTAGAAACATGTTGGCTTTGGCCATTTAAATAAAGGCCTTTTACTGCATTTTTCCTCGTGCGATTTTTTACTCTTTTTGCTTCTTTGGAGTGCCTGGAGTCCTGTTGTGTTTGAGATTCATTCCAGATCTTGGGGCTAAAAGCTTCTGACCAGAGGGAAGCAGCTGAAACTCTAAAACTGAGTTTAGTGGATGTTGCACGTCTTTTAAAATCCTCTGGGACGTCCTCTTGAACTGTCTTGAGTACAGGGGGTAAAGGCGGCTCTGAGGATGGACAATCACCTCACTCGCCCACTGGGAGACTGCTGGAAAATCAGGGACCACAGGGGGGCGCCAGTGGCAAAAACACTGTGTCATTGTGTCCTTAGGCAAGACACTTAGACAAACTTATTGATCCACAAGGAGAAATGATTTGGACACAGGAGCTCACACATCACAATATAATATAATAACAAAGAGAAAATATATAAATGGTAGGGGTGTCAAATTATCGCGTTAATTGCGATTAATTAGTTACAGTCATATTTAGCGCGTTATGTTTTTTAATCACGTTAATCTTATTTTTAATTTCTAACTTTACTGTTTGTGTATGCGAGTTGCCTTATTATAAAATCTGTTTTTATGTGTTGTTAGGACACAGTCCCGCACTGTGCAGTCCTGCTCCGCTCGCTCCCGCAAAGAGTTGTAATTTTCATTCCCGTTCTCGCCGCATCTGCGATAAACCTGCACACGTCTGATCTCTGAAAACATAGCGACACAGACACAGAACAGACTCAACTTCACCATCAACATCCCTCTGTCACAGAAAGAACACTCATTTTCCACTGAGTCGAGTCCTTTAGTCCAACAGAAGCTGAACTGCATCAGCGCACAAGAGCTTTTTTTTTTCTTTTCTCCACTTAATTTATACAAATGAGCCATGCGGTTTTAAGTTTAGTTTCTGTGAGACTTGCACAAAGCTGCATTAAACACATTCTAATGTCAAACGGGCTGATGTGGCTCTAGAGTGTTTATGGTTTATATGTTGTAAAGTTGAGTTTATTTATGCAGATTAGTAACAGTAATAATAATGATGATACTTATATAAAAACGTTAATGATAGTATGAAAATAATGTAATAATGAATTCAAATGAAAATACCTCAACTTTTCATCATGGACTTTTCTCAGTAATTTTTAGGTGACACCAAAAAAGAGATTAATTAGATTAATTAATTACAGATCATAATTAATTCATCTCTCAATTTTTTTTATCGCTTGACAGCACTAATAAATGATAATAATACATTTTAGCAAAAAGACAACAGAGACAGGTGTCAAATAAAACATAATTATATAAATGTAAATGTACAAATAAACCCACTTCACCCACATTGCTGGTCAGAGGGGCTGATGGTGCAAACTGACAGCATCACCTTTTGTCAGTCTGCCTCAAGACAGCTGTGGCTACAATAGTATCTTATCACCACCACGTGTGCAGTGAATGAAGAATGCACCAAACTGTAAAGCATCTCAAAACACGCTATACTCTATAACACTCATGCATTATTATTATATTGCAGTGAGATTTTCAGTATTATCTTTCAAATCAAGCTTCAAGCCTAGGGGCATTGACACTACATTGCAGCCTTTTACTTCAAAATAGCACAACACACATCTGACGGGCTGTGTTGAATCCCGACCCCTCCCTGGCCAGCTGAAGCCGAGTCTGCAGTTACTGTCACTAATTGCTGGTAGATGGAGGATGCGGGAGGGAGGAGGGAGGAGGGAGGAGGAGGGGGGACCTCTTATGAATGAAACCCAGCTCGGTGACGTCAATGGGGGGGCCGCTTGACGCATGTGTGGGTGGGCAGGGTTCGGGAGAGAGGGAGAGCCTGGATACTGCATGAAAACACACCAACGCGGGCAGATGTAAAGAAGCAAAGCAGGACAGCGCTCCACAGAAGGTAGGATATGAGATTTACAGAGAAATATATGTTTGGAGATTTTTTTGTTATATGTCCTACTCTGATTATATTTTTGTAATTTATCAGAAATATTTGCGTAATTTAGTATAATTTTCTCTTTTTTTTTGTTTATCAGTTTTGTGGAGGATGGGAAGGGCAACAATAACTGAGGTCTAATGCAGCCTACGTAATATATAGGCAATATTCAAATCATTTAAAAGAATCAATATTGTAATTTTGTATATTTTCAGAAATGTATATAAAATAATAGGTACATTATATTGCAGAAAAAATATCTTTTACGTGGTAATGTCAGTATATATGAATGAGGGACCCAAAAGGAAGGGTTAAAAAGGGAGTGGAGAACTCATTTTATTATTATTTTTTGTCTACTGATTAAAAAAAATAAAATAAAAATCAATAAAGAGTAAAAATTTGTAATATTGAATTAAGAAAATTGAATTGTGAATTGAATTAATATAAATAGGAATAACATGTTTATTTATTTATATATGATGATATATATGATGAACATGTTTTTTGGGGGTTTTTTATACACAATTTCTGGAAAGTTACTGTTAAACTGTTCAGGTTTTGTATTTATAATTGGATTTTTAAACATTTTTGGGAGAGAAATAGAAAAGACAAAAAAAAAAAAAAAAAAACAGCAGACAGTAGAGCACGACGTTTGGCTTCTATGGGGACTGCAACACAATTGGATTCTAGAGAATGCACAGTCAAAGCCCAGAATTATTTAAATCTTACCTAAATTATCTAAACCTCGAGGTACAATAACGAATGTAAGATTTTGAGAAGACAACGTTGTGAAATTTAAATTATTACCTGAAATTTCCTTGATTTAGAGAGATTAGATAAAGATTGAAAGCTTTATCATGTTGACTGCGCAAAAAAAAAAAAAAACTTGTCCCTTTATATTTTATGCACATAAACAAAACTGTTTGCACTTCAAATTTAGACTACTGTACTGGCATTATGAGGACAAACATACGACGTGAGATTGGGAAATGATCCCATCCTGATTTATTAGTAATGGGCATCTTAAATGGAACTTATTATGCTCTCTCCAGGGATTTTGTTTTGAACGATAAGAACAAAAGTAGACCATTATTTTACATTTTGTTCATTGGAAATCCCAATATTGACAGTACAAAAGTGCAGCACAGACAGCTTGAGGAAATCAAAATATAACTTAACTGAAGATCTACTGTGCTTGTGTCTGCTGTATAGTTCATCTATGAAAGACGTGGGTCATTATGTTGTCATTTGGACATTTGAAATTACAATATTCATGTAAAACAACAAGAAAACGACAGTGCGCAATAGGAGCTGATTCGGCATAACCGTGATCACAACAAAGCACTGTCGGCACCTACTGATAGAAGTATATATCACGCAAGAATTCTATTTTTTTGATTTGTAGCAAAAGGAGAAATCAATTTGTCAACTGGACAAAAGTTTATTTCGGTCAAATATGTTTCACGGCTCATCCAAGCTGCTTCTTCAGTTCTGTTCAGACGCTGGTGACACTGTCTTATATCTGCCTGGAGGGAGAAGCTAACTACACTGAAACTACTCTGAAACTAACACACACACTTGTTTACAATTTCTGTTAGTTAGTGAAGCCTATTGACCTGTACTGAGTGTGGGGTCTTTTAGGTGGAGATGTACGGCAGACTGAGGTCCAGTATTGCTCTCTCGTCTGTGTTGGTTCATCCTCTTGTGAGGTGGCTGTTTCGTTTCTCAAATGGGAATGATTCTGCTAATAAGACCCCACACTCAGTGCAGAATCAATAGGCCTCGCTAACTAACAGAAACTGTAAACAAGTGTGTGTGTTAATTTCAGAGTCATTTCAGTGTAGTTAGCTCCTTCCTCCAGGCAGATATAAGACAGTGTCCTCCAGCGTCTGACCAGAACTGAAGAAGCAGCTTGGATGAGCAGTGAAACGTATTTAACCAAAACAAACTTTTGTCCAGCTGACAAATAGAATTTTGCCTTTGGTCATTTGGACATTTGAAATCACAATATTCATGTAAAACAACAAGAAAATGCGTCTGTGCAAAACAAGCTTATTTTGGCATAAACATGATCACAACAATGCGCTGTCGGAATCTACTGATAGAAGGACTGTATTTTATTTTGTCACATTTGTACAAAACACTAGCCAGGCTGGCGTCACCTCCACTTAATTTCATTTCTGTCCAGCAACTAGGTCAGGAATCAGAATACACTTAGATGGTTCGCAAAAACCCCATAAGTGCGAGTTCCGTTGGTTCCCGAGATTGAGGATTTAAAGCCGGAACAAAGAGAATGTTTGGTGAATTTTATCAAGGGGAAAGACGTTATTGTCCTTCTTCCTATGGGATTTGGGGAAAGCTTAATATACCAGTTATCCCCGTTAGCAGCGCATTACATATGTGTGTACCAAATAGCAGCGATTGGTTAAATGAGACATGTCAAACTCCGGCCCTGGGGCCAAATTTGGCCCGCAACATAATTATATTTGGCCCGCAAGTTCATATCAAATCTGTATTAGAGCTGCCCGCCGCCTACAGATCGACTATAGAGCAGAGATCTCCAACCTTTTTTCTGCAGTGAGCTCCTTTACCAAACAAAAATGTCAGAGAGCCACTGTACCAAATTCAGCAGTCGCAAAGAAACTGAGTAAATATAAGAGCCACAGCCTTAGATGGGGAACAGTTAGATCCTTATAAAACATAAACCATTATCCATTTATCAGTGCACCAAATTACACATCAAAATGATACATTTACAATGGTAATGGATGGATAATTCATCAAATTTGACTTATTATGCACACTACATATAATTTAAAAATACCTTGGCGAGTTATTTGGAAGTGGGTGAAGAGCTACTGGTAGCTCCCAAGCTACAGGTTGGAGACTCCTGCTACAGAGACATTATTTATTTAAATTTTAGTTATTGTTTTATATTCTGCTTGTTCTGCAGCAAAACTGCTTGTTTTAAGCAAAACTATCATTAAATATTTATTTTAATAAGAAAAGGTTCTTGAAATAAGAGGACACATGCATGTTGTTGAAATTTTGTAATAAATATTTAGTTTGGCCCACGACTTAGTCCCAGTTTTGAATTTTGTCCCTCTGTGAATTTGACTTTGACACCACTGGGTTAAATGAAAAAAGCACTCACCTACTGTCGAGTGAACAAATTCTAACACTGCGAGGTCAGACAGTTTCTACAAAGTGAAACCGGCTCATGAATCAGGCTACCAAAACACTACATAGCAGTGAAAAGAGGAGTAGATTGGAATGACATTTTGAATACAAGAGAATAAAGATTACTCAGTCATGCATGAATCACTCTAAATACAACTCTGAGTGGTGACTAAATGAGGACACAACTACAACATGATTAAAAAAAAAAAAAGCTATTCACTGCACCAGCTATTTAGATATAATCTGGCACAGAACATCTTTGTTGTTTATTAGCTTAATGTCTCTGTACATTGTCTCTTGGCATAAAGACTAAACTAAAACATAAAATATTTGCACAAAACAAGACTTTGTGCCTATTGTAAATCCACTTTTGTTCTTGGTTGTGTTCACAGACTCAGTGCATGGGGCATGATGGTGCCCCGCAGAGCCGCAGGCAGCCTCTTCCTCCTGACTGGAGTCTCCATCTTGCACCTGTCCTCCCTCCACCCCGCTAGAGAAGGTGCAGAGCTGGACACCACGCTTGGACCTATTCCCGTGGAAACTACTACTCCACGTCTAAACAAAATGGACGACAAAGAGGAAGACGATGTCCTTTTCGGAGACATCGAGCCGCAACAGCTAGCAAACATCTTAGTGAAAGCTTTAAGAGGCAAAAACAAGGTTCGCAGTGAGGATAGTTTAGAAAATGAGGAGGTAGAAGACAGAAGACATCAAGAATCAGATGAAAAAAGTCAGGAAAAAGAGAGGAGCAAGGACCCACCTATGGAGGACGTAACTAGTCACACTATTTTTAAGACTTTGGAGGAGCAAACAAAAACGCCTTCCGAGTCTGCCGAAGTGGAAGAACCAAAATCCGAAACTGTACGCCAAGATGAGGAAGAGCAGTTGACTGCCGAGGAGCTCCGCAGTCTGGAGACCATGATGAAGGAGTTCCCTCGCGTGGGGACCTTTGAGAAGAGAGATGATTCCAACAGTTTTAACGAGGTTCTACCGGTGAACAAGAACCAAGAACAGAAGCTGAAGTGGCGGGAGGAAACGCAGAAGGCTCTGAACTTTCCATCCTTTAGCTTCATGGACGAGCTGGAGAAGATGAACTCCTTGGTGGATGATGTCGACACAACCGGCCCCCAGCAAGAAGCTCCTGAGGAGACGCAACCAAACGAGGAGGAGAGTCAAGAGGAGGTAGCTACTTTTGTGTTATTTATTTCAATCAATATTCTTTTTACGATTTGTTGATGTTGTAGAAGCTTGATGGTAAGGCTAGACAATTTTTGACATGTTTTTTGAAGACATGAGATACGTTAATTTGATCTTCTAAGATGTTCCATGAAACTGATTCAAGGAACGAGTTGTAATATGCATTGGCACGTTATTACACCAGATGCCATTCCCTTCGCAACATGCTGGCTTCTCTCTAGTAACGGGGTGAATGCTGATCTTACTTGCCGTGCCACTTCAGTGAAAGGTGTCAGTGCATACATCACAACAAAAAGATCCCAAGTTTGATTCGTGGACGGCATGGGGCTTTTCTGGGTTTCTGGTTTGCATGTTGAGTGGGTGTCCTCCAGTTTCTTTCATGGATTTTCGGGCATTTGGCTGGTCCTTGGTACTCCTGACTCTCGGGGCTTTCAAGATCTGGAACATCGAGCAGTCGCTACCAAGTGCTTCTTACAAGTTGAAGACCAAGTCAATAATCCCACTGGATGGATTCTGAAAAGGCACATAGTTAAAATTAGATTATCTCTATATTTACGGAACCAGACAAATTTATTTATTGTGAACGCCAGTTTGCTTGTCTGCCGATCCCTTTCTTTATCAAATGTACATTAAATGTTTTTTCCATAACCTCTTTGGCATGTTCTGCCGTGACTAAGAGTGGACACTTAGAAGAGCCAGTTTTGAACATCCAAATCATGCTAAATTCAGTTGCGCTGCTGCCTTCTCTCTCCTCCCGTGGTGCGTTCTGCAAACCCAGACACATCAGTCGTATGGGCAGTTATTCGTATTCTCTGTGTATTTGAAGTGTTGTATGTGAGTTATTGATTTTGTATTAAAGCTACTGTCCGTGCGTAACTTTTGGCAAGTGAAATATTAACCATTTAATAGTGTAAATAATGTTTCCAGTGAATGTAATGTAATATGGCTAAGAGTTGAAAGAGAATTGACCTTTTTAAAGAGAGAACTACCACTGTCAATAATATTTGCGCATGAGCACAATAAACCACTCAAAACGCATATCCCAATTGAGCCTAAATTTTTTGAAGAATCCCGCCACATTTACAGTATATATTATATATATATATATATTATATATTTTTTTTTTATTGGTAATATCCCATTTTCTCTTCTTCAGACTGATGAAGAGAATTTGAGTCCCGAAGAGGAGGAAGCCCGAGCTAAAGCCGAGCAGGACGAGATGAGGCGGCAGGCGGCGGAGGCACAGAGGGCTCGTCTGGAGGAGGAGAAACTGGCCGACATCGCTTCAGACATGCTCCTGCGCTACATGGGCAAAGAACGCAATGGCCCCAAGCAGAGGTGGGTAGAGAAGCTAAAACTTTTACTCAAGTTAGAGGAACGTTACTTCAAAATAATATTACTCGAGTAGAAATACAACATAGTGGTCAAAGGAACTACTCAAGTAAGGGTAACCTGAAGAGTAATTCTTGGGACGAGACGAAGAGAATGTAATTAGAAGACAAAACATTAAATATTACACAAAAGCTGTATTTTCAAAAGATAGACACAAAAATGAGAGGTCATATGTGAAGGAGAGGTGCAAGAAACGTTCAAATCATCCAATATTTTCAATATAAAGCTGGAGACTAGAGTAAACAGTGGGAAGAGAAGCAAAAAGTACTGCTATTTGAATAAATATATCACTCAAGTAAGAATAAACGTATGCTGCTAGAAAATACAATTTCTTTAAAGAGGGGATGTTATGCAAAATCAACTTTCTACCATGTTATCACATGGTCCCCTCCTTCAAATACACTACAACTTCACAAACCTGATGCAATGTGCAGTAGTTTCATTAGAGAAATGTGCATTGTGCATTGATTGTGTTGTTTGCTCTTAAGGGGGAGTGACATAGTGCGCTAAAACCAAAAATGTAACATTTTCAAAACAATAAAAGGTCTAAATATGTGTTAGCGATTAATACTTCGTGACATGAAATACTCCCTCTTTAAAAAGTTACTCAAGTAAATGTAACCAACTCTGGCCCCAGGTACAGGCAGCCGCTGTCTGACACCCCCGAGGACAAGCGCTCAGACGAACAAGCCCAAGACCTGGACCCTCAGACCATCGACAAGCTCATCGAGATCTCCAGCAAGCTCCACCTGCCCGCCGACGACGTGGTGGACATCATCAGTGATGTCGAGGAGAAGAAGAAGAGGAAAGACGTGCTACCTCCTGAGATGTCCTCGAGGTATCCCTCCAACGTAGAAACAAATCAACCTTTCCCCAGTCACCTCCGAAGCTGGTATCATCCCAAAACGGCACCTTCTCAAGATCTTTGGAGCAAGCCCAGAAAGCTTCAACCCGGACTTTGGTCGCAGAGTGCTCCAGAAGGCTGGCGTAAACCTCTAGCCTACCCTGTCCCCTACTATCCCCGGTATCCACCAGCGTACTACCCAATCCCTGTTGTGTCGCCACCTAGGCCTCAACCCTGGTACTACAACCCTTATGCTTTCAATCGCTTCTTGACGAATCCAGTTAGCTCCTACGCTTACAATACACGGACTAACCCCAGTCCCGGATGGCGTTTGCTCAGAAAACCTGTACCATATTACACCAACAGCGCTCCCTTGGTGAACCCGTGGAGATTTAAGCTCAAAGCACCCCCAAGTCGGGCGGTGGCGCGGCAAAAGCAATGGTTAGCTCCTGCTCCGGCACTGATAAAAGATGCCAGTTCCAAAAAGACAATGAGCGACAATAGCAACAGAAGAGAGGGTCTGGAGAGATACCTAGCAGTTTGTCCGGAAAAAGGCACATTTGTTAGACTAAGGACAGACTCAGACCTCAACTGTGCACGATCACCTCTGGTTTTTCCATAGACTTTTTGAATAATGTGTATATTGAGAATGCTAATCAGCTATGGAATAACAAATGACCATAAACATAATTTTGATAAAAAGGTCACATATTATGCAAATTAACTTGAACTTTTGTCATAATGTTTCTTCCTTACCAAAATATACTTTAAACATGCACAATATAACTGATGGTGAGGGTGGAATCTAACATCTACAGAACGTTGAGATGTTATTGTTTTGCCTGAGATGTTCCGCAGTATGGCATTTAACTTCTCTAACTTCTATTTATTCTATAGACCTGTTTTTTTTATGGCAAAACATTTGTGGAAATGCCTCAAATCAACCCCATCACCAAATCTTCAGCCAACAAGTCCACAAAGGATAAACATTCTAACATGAAGAATTTATCCACAACTATTGAGAAGAGAAAGATGAAAGCTTAAAGGAGAACAACGATGAGCATTAGTGACAGACTGAACAAAACTAACATTATGGTCTTGAATAAAACAGAAGTAATAAGTAATTCATTAATAAGTAACTTGTTCACTCAGACTGATTCTAGAATTCAAATAAAAAATCTATTTCATGATGTCGATATTAGTACAGATAGAAAGATTTGTGCAGTTTCAGTGCTACAGATGTTCACAGATCACATGTCTAGTATTTGAACTGCACAAATCTATCTGTCTATGATAATCGACATGAAATCGATTTTTAATTTTAACTGTAGAATCAGTCCGAGTTAACAAGTTAACATTAGTTTTGTTCAGTGTGTCACTAATGCCTTGTTGTTCTGCTTTAAGTTTTCATTTTTCTTCTCTTGATAGTTGTGGATAAAATGTTCATGAAGAATGTTTATTTTTTTGTGGACCTTATTGGTTGAAGATTTGGTGATGGAGCAGATTTATGAAACTGGTGAAGAATATGCCGGACATTTTCACAGATATTTTGCCATTCAAAATCATTGACCTAAACTGACGTTTACCTACATCACAGCACTTCCTGCTGTTGTGAAAAAGGTCTATTTGTGAAAAACTGTATTCTAACTATGAGTGGAGTTGCCTCTCCATAGATCTTACCTGTAGAGGTCACCATTACCAAGGTACATGTTTGATGTGGTGCTGTGTCACATTCCAGACAAAGCAATAACACTGCTGTAGATGGTGGATGCGCCGCCAAAAAGGTCCATAGTGCACCTTTCAGTAGTATTGAATGTCATTCTCGTGTTTCTATACTTTCTTGGATTGACCCCGGCACTATTTGAAACTAGCTCCTCCCTGTTTTTAAAGTCCATTCATTGGGTCATTTCAGCAGAACTGCCTTCACTCAAAGCCTATGTGTTTGTGTTATGTTGCTAGAGCCAAATGTACCATGCTTGCCTTTTCAGCATAAGTCACTCTAACATTGGGAGTGTTACCAGCAGATGGAGTCAGTGGATTCATTTTAAAGGTGGAGTTTGTTCACTATCAGGTGGACGGTCCCCATGCTTTAAGTTCCAAAACAAAAGCATAATATGTTGCCTTTGAATTATGTTTCGATGCTGATTCGCCTCATTTTCTGCAGCTCTCATTCAAAGAAAATGCTCTTCGCTTTTGACAGAAGTGGCACTACATTGTATTGTATTTTTATAGCTACATTGCATTTTGAAGATGACTATTAAAGGGCCTGTACCCGATTTAAAACATTTTTTTTTCACATATTTGAGCATTTGGTCTTGCCCCAGTACAGACATACTGTATTTTATATATACAGCTCTTATATAGTAAGTAAACAACTCCACCACGTACTGTCTGCATCTAATTATCAAGCATTAAACAGGATGTATGTGGTTAGCATGCTAGTTGTTGTGAGCATTACTGTGACGTAACACATCGCACTAGCCTCTGTAAAGCGCTTATAAATGCGGTGAACAATTACGAAGCTTGAAAAGGACAAGGCAAATGAGGAATAACTTTGGACCATTGAAAACTGTCAAACAAAGTGTTTTTTTTGTCATGTTTTTCATCATTTTGACACAGTAAATATCAGGTACAATGCCTTTAATGTCATCTGTTTTGCCATTTTGTTTTTGGATTTCATATGATTGTAAAAAAAAAAAAAAAAAAAATGGACAGAATGTCGATTTGTAATTTTTGTGAAGAATGAGAATTGTGTGGTAGGAACTGTTGCATAGACAATCTGCCTTTATCCCCGGGGACCCATTTAAAGGCAGGACCAGCGAGTGCCTCTGTGATGTGCATGCTCGTGTGCAAACAGAAAAAAACATTCGAAAAAAGCATTGAATAAAAAGTATAAAAAATGAACTACAACTGAAACTGTGCAACAATCGGTGTCTGTTGTTGTGTTCGTGTGTCGCAATAAAACTGGGTTCGCTGGTTTTATGAACAACTCTACGCTCTTATTTGGACTTCACTGACTTCACCTCCTCAAAAACAGACCTGGAATTGTGTTTTGTTTCTTTCACACATTGTTCTCGCACCATTTTTAACTAGTCTGTCTACATCTCCAAAGCTCTTTTCCACCTTGTGATGTCATTGTACTGGACCAAGTTGTAGTAATAAAGTAGTAGACCAGGAATCTTTGGAGAAGAAAAACAAATGTGTCCCCTCTGTTTATTCAGTGAGAACAGGTCCAAAAAGACCAGAAACCAGCCCATTTGTCCAACATGACATGGGGTCAGGGGGCACGGTTTATGTGCACAAACGCCACAGCCAATTCTACGGCTCACATCATGAAGCTGGGGTTTTCAAGTGAACAGCTCCTTTTACTTTTAGTTCAATAGAGATCGGCAATCCCAGAGCTGAAATCATCCAAATGATTCTAATGAAGGTGTGTGGAGTTTAAAAACACAGTGGAGCACTTCCTGTAATACCTCATGACATCACAAGGTGGAACAGAGTGTTTTCTGTTTGAGCGAAGAACTCAGGCTAAATCTTCAGGGTTAGTGTTTTAAACATGTGTGAATGAAACAAAACACAACTCCAGGTCTGTTTGTGATGAGGGAACATTAGAACACAGATCAGAAAACAGAGTAATACGAGTCCTTTAAGCGCTGGAGCTTCCAGAGCAGCAGTCGTGAGGCAGAAGAACCTGCACAGGCTGACACAGTCTGGAGGTGGATGCTCTGAGCACAGAGGAGGATATTGGTCATGATAATAAATATAATAATTCTAGTCTAATGACTGGTATTGAAATGATAATCAAATTAAACAATGATTCATGCAGCCTCATTACTGTCACAAGTTAACCTTTAGAGGAGGACTACAGTCCCGCTCATTATCACCTTCTGTGGGAGTCATCAAACCCACTGTGGATTTGTCATTTTAGTGAGTTAGTTGGTGCAATAATTGAACTCACAGTTCATAAATTGCACATCTCTGAGATACTGAATGTGAAGTCATCACCTGCAAAAACCTGATCCATGTTGTTGTACACTGAAGTAGCCTATTGAAGTAGCCTATTGAAGTAGCCTATTGCAGTAGCCTATTGTAGTAGCCTATTGCAGTAGCCTATGTAAACCTACATGATCCTGTACTGTCATGTTCTTATAGCATCAAATGGTTGGAACAAGTGTTTGGTGAAATGGTGCTCTGCTCATTCTCACAGAGGTGATGATTCATGGAGTCACGTGGTGAAGTGGTGACTCATCCAGCGGCATCAGGCTGCCTCTGCAGAACGCGCACACACGCACACGCACGCACATCGACACACAACAGACACATGCGCGTGTCCTCACACGCACGCGTACAATGGTGCACACACATATACACGGAGTTCACAGAACAGTAATAATAAGCAGCCCAAGTGTTGCTGTAGGCTGCTTACTTGGTCTATGCGTAAAACTGTATTTTAGGCTGGAACTATCATGTACACATCAGGCAATGGGCTCCAGACACTTGTATTTTACATTTCTTGATTTATTTTATTCAACTGAAACTAGAAAAATAGCTCACTAAGCTCACTATATCTAACTTCGATGTGCCTATAGATAAGGTAATTAGACACTAAAATAAAATATCGTACGTTATCTTACGTTATATACATTATAGATCATCTTGTTGTGTGCAGAAAAATAAATGTAGAACTGTTCTCAAAACAGACAGCAGATGGCAGCAGTGCACTTAAGTGCGTCACATGGCATCCAGACCAGTAGGGGCGGTACGTTTGTTGTCGTTCCACCTGCGCCACCACCACAGCGCAGGCAGCAGAAGAGTTGCAGCTGCGTGGGTCGGTGTCAGATTCAGAAAAGTTGCGTCCAGAAATCCAAACACTGTTCTGAGCCTGACCATGAAGCCTCCGCCCCGTAAGCGCACCAGGACGAGGCGGGAGCTGCCCGCGGTGCCGGAAAACCTGGGGAAGAGCGTGTGTAAGTGGCCGGTATCGGAGCAGAGGAAGCTGCTAACCGCCCTCACCAAACTGCGCCCCAAAGACCTGTCCGGAGAGCCGCTGGATCTGGAGCAAATCGAGGAGCGTCTGCCCTCACGCACGGTGGAAGAGGTGACGTGACTGACCTGTGCGCTGGGGCCGTGCGTAAAAGGGGATCAGACAGCTCACAGGCAATAGAGACTGACTTTAGGGACGATCAACTTCAGCACTGAATGTTTTTATATCACACATGCACTAGGTTAGAAAATACACAGGCTGTAGAAGAACTAAACCAGATGAAACCAGACGTAAACAAGTAAACAGAACTAGGACTTCAACTACTTCAACTAGGGAGAGAAAGATGCATGAAGGGTTGTCCATACTATCGAAAGTCAGCAAAACTAGATACTCATTTGAGCAGGTATCGATACTCAAAAAGTCCCATTCACGGGTCAGAAATGAAGGTTCCTGAATGTCTTTAGAATAATGTTGAGTTGTATCAGAACAAGTAGAAGAGCACATAGACTAGTGTACACACATGGACACTATGAACCTACTGGACCACTGAGGATTACACACATATAAGGCACATGTAAACAAAAACACTGTGATTAATCAAATTCACATAGCACATTTCATAAACTAAACAGTTTCCAAAGTGCTGCACAATACAAATAAAACATATCCAACAGGGATGTAAGGATATCCAAATCTCTCTGTACGACAGTAGCACGATATGCATCTTATGATTAGGCCTGTAACAATAACAGATTTTGCTGGACGATTAATTGACCAAGAATTTATTGCAATAAATGATAATATTGACATTTTGAGACCAATTTCAACTATTATATTATAACCATGGAATAAAAATGCAAATACACCCTTTCAAAGATAAATAAACCTTACTCTCTAAAGAACATTTAACACAGGAAGTGTAAGACAACCAAAAACAATAGACCTAAATAAATAAAACAGACTTGTTAACACAGAACTAGTCTAATGTGTCTGACTAACAGCGAGGACTTGTTCACAAAAATGCACTTGAATAAACCATTGCTGAACCAAATACAACCAAAGCATTAAATAAAATAGATTATTAAGTCTCTGTAACAAAATTGCCCTTAAAAGTGATTTTAGTCACTGACATGGTATATAGTGGTCACTCTCTCTGTGGCTGCTGCTGTGGCCCCGTCATTTTGGTCATTTAAATGTTTTTATTAACCCTCGACACAGGATCCTGTTTGGCTCTGAGGGAGTCTCTGTCCTGTCTGGTGTCGTGTCAGTGTCTTGTGGGATTTCAGGTTCTCCCGGGGGCGGGGCTAGTTCTGTCACTCGGGTTTGGGTTTATCAGCTGTTGGGGTTTGAAACATTTCTTCTCATCGTTTGCGTGCTCTACATTTGACGCATGTGGCTGTTGAGACGTGTCACACTCACCAGTGTTGATTCGGCATCGTGACTTGTTTTGGCACTCGGCGATGAACTGTTTTGGTTCTGACAGCGGCGCTTGTGTTGCAGCTTCATGTTTAGCCGCACAGACAGCGGCGCTTTCTGCACTCAGGCTGTGTGCGCATCCACTGTGTTGATAAACACAGAGCACGCTGGCTCAAGCGTCATTACACTTGTTGAATGAGAGGAGTCAGAGAGAGATAGAAGCTTCTAACATCCAGTCTCTTTGAGAGCGACAGAGAGCGAGGAAAACAAACAAGCACGCAAATAGAATTTATTGCGGCCGCAAAAGTTATCAAGCTTGTTAAAAGTTATCATACGATTAATTGATATATTGATTAATGTTACAGGCCTACTCATGATACGATATTGAATGCGATAGTTTGGAGAGGCTATGTCATTGTAAATAGGAGTCTTCTTACTTTTAAAATACCTTGAGATGATATTGGGGTGAATTATTTCCATCATAATCCCAAGAATTTAAGTCAAAAACATAATTCTTCATGTTGTCTGCACTGAAATGAATCATGGGATATGTAGTTCCCGATATTTATTGACTGTTGCAACTATAAAACCTGCATTTAAGCAAAGGAACTTGTGTTTCGATATATTGTAACAGCCCACGATATTACTGTGAGACTTTTGACGATAATATCATGATATGTCAGACTTGGATATTGTTACAGCTCTAATTGATTCTATTAGTTCCTTTTGATTGGAACATTTTAGAGTTAGATGTTTTACACTGCTATGTGAAGTACTTTGGTAACTGTCTTGTTTATAAAATGTGCGATACAAATAAAGTTGGATTGGATTAAACTGTGGAAGATTCCAGAAAAAGCAATAACATCTCCACGGAGACAAGGGACAGATCCTCCACCAGTAAAATTAAATGGTGCACCTTTAATTTGACTAGATGTGATGAGGGGTGTGCAAAAATATCAAAATCGCTTAATGTGATGATACAGTATCGATATTATGGGCTGCTGTATCGATATATCGCCAAGAGTATTTTTTTTTGGTATATTTTACTAAATTATTTTGTTACAGCTACAGTTTTGTTGCTTGTTTAGAGAAAGGAAGCTCGTTTATGCGACACATTTGACATATTCACAGTTTTGATGATGTGAAATGTTTGTGTTTCATATAGGCCTGTAACGATTGTCAATAAATCAGTTAATTGTACGATAACTTTTAACAAGCTCAATAACTTTTCTGGACATGATAAATTCTATTTACATGCATGTTTGTTTTCCTCGCTCTCTCTGTTGCTGTCAAAGAGACTGAATGTCAAAAGGCGTCTATCACTCTCTGACTTCTCTTGTTTAACAAGTGTAATGACGCTAGAACCAGCGTGCCAGCCTAGACTAGACGGATTATTTGTTCACCAACACAGTGAATGCGTGCGCAGTCTGAGTGCAGAAAGCAGCGTTGTCTGTGCTGTGAACATGAAGCTGCAACACAAGCGCCGCCGTCAGAACCAAAACAGTTCATCTCCGTGTGACAAAACAAGTGACAATGCCAAATCAACACAAGTGAGTGGGATATGTCTCAACGGCGAACATGCATCAAATGCAGTGAGCGTGTAAACGACGAGAAGAAATGGGTCAAACCCCAACAGCCGACATACACCCATACCCGATCCACACAGCTAGCCCCGCCCACAAGAGCCTGAAATCCCTAAATCTGACAAGAAACTGACATGATACCAGACAGGAAAGCGGCTCCATCATAACCAAACAGGATCCTGTGGTGCGGGTTAATACGTGGTAATCACAAGATTAACACAGACTTACCAGTTCTGATTGAAGGTGTCCAAATAGAAAATGTAACTGAAAATAAATTCCTGGGAGTTATAATAGACAGTAAATGATCATGGAAAGCCCACATTAGACACATAAAAACATTTCCAAAAGTCTTGCTATAGTAAACAAAGTGAAATATGCCCTTGATCAAAATGCCCTTCATACATTTTACTGTTCATTGGTTTTCCCTTATTTCACTGTGTTGAAGTGTGGGGGGAACACTTACCAATGTACACTTCATCCATTGATCATATTACAGAAGCGAGCTCTGCGAATCATCCATAAAGTTGTTTTTTTAGAACACACCCATACTCTTTTTTTTTTTTTTCAATCCAAGCTCCTCCAGATTCCTGATCTTGTAAAATATTATTTGCTAGTAATTTTATTCAGAGCATGTAACAATTTACTACCATGTAATATTCAAAGCTTGTTCAAAATGAGAGAGAACTTATAATTTAAGAGGGTATGGAAATTTCAAATTGCCTAATGTTCAAACTACCCGTAAAAGTTTCTGTGTGTCTGTATGTGGTGTAAAACCCTGGAACAGTCTGGATACACGTCTCAAGCAACACTTAAAGACCAAAATGTCGAGGCTCACAGCAGCAGCCACAGAGAGACAAGACACAATATTCCAATGTAAATCAATGACAAAAATCACTTTTAAGGGCAGTTTTGTTACAGAGACTTAATAATCCATTTATTTAATGTTTTGGTTGTGTTTGGATTAACAATGGTTTATTCAAGTGCATTTTTGTTAACAAGTCCTCCCTGTAAGCCAGACTACATAAGGCTATTGTTATGTTCGCATGTCTATTTTATTTAGGCCTGTTGTTTTTCATTCTTGTGCAGTTCCTGTGTTAAATGTTCTTTAGAAAGTAAATTTTATTGATCTTTCAAAAGGGTGTATTTGCATTTTTATTCCATGGTCATTATATTAGTTGAAATTGGTCTCAAAATGTTAATATTATCGTTTGTCGCATTAAATTGTTGGTCAGTTGATCATCCAGCTAAATTTTTTATCGTTACAAGCCTAGTTTCATATTCACTTTGCACAAGAAGTTTTTAAACGAAGATTTTTAGTGTCACAGCCATGATTTAGCCTTTATTTTTTTATTGAACTATATCGAATTGGTTTGAAATATATCGTATTGAATCAAAAGTGTACTGTATCTAGATATGTATCATATTGTGTCGTATATTGTATGTATCGAGGCATGTATTGTGTTAGAAACTTATACGATAATCATTGTTAATTTGGCACCAGTCTAAGGCATGTCCCTCGTCTCCTCACAGATAAACTCCGTTCTGGACACTCTGAAGGAGAAGGTCGTCTCATTTGCCAAGACCAAGCATCGGGCAGAGAGGAGGGAGCAGAGGAGAAGCAGGAGGCCCCTGGACTTCTGGATCCAGGAGGCGTCTGCTCTGAGCCGAGGGGGGGCGGAAGAGGCTCTGTCCCAGGCCTTCGCCCAGGTATGGAACAGCACCGTACCACTGCTGGGTTTCAAAACATGTCACTGCATTCTATTGACCAATATTATTTAATGCAGACGGTGGGCAGCTAAAGTAAATACAGTTCAAATGTAAGTTTTAGTTGTAACATAGAAAGTTAATGTGTTTAGTCAGTTTAGATAGAAAAGATTACATTCAAGATTTGTGAATACACTTTTCAGACTATTTCAGGACAAATTCAATGTTATTAATAGAGAAATTTGTCTCATTCTATAGTCTAATAATATTTACCGTATTTTCCGGACTGTAAATCGCTCCGGAGTATAAGTCACACCAGCCAAAAAATGCACAATGAAGAAGAAAAAAACATATATAAGCCGCACTGGACCATAAGTTGCACTTTTTAGGGAAATGTATTTTGTAAAATCAGAGACCAGAAACTGACTTGATCCGATTTCATCCTGAAAGGCAAGTTCTAGTAATAACAACAGAATATGTTAACTGTTAATATGTTAACGTGACATATTAACAATTATTCAGATTATTATAACATAAACGACAGAACATAAGTTTACCAAACTCACGAACTCACTCCAAATCACTAAATCCATTGAACACTTCATTCTCCGTGTCACTTCTGGGCGACCTCCGGAGATAAACCATAGATCCATAATGTAAACGGAGCGCCGCTTCCTCTTCTGTGTCACTGTCGTCAGACTCAGCATCAGTTCCAGTTAGAATTATCCCGGCCTTTCTGAATCCCAAAAGGGTGTTTCGATTGTCATTTAAGTTCAGGCTTTGTCCATCCATCCAGTGACTTCAGGAAAGTTTCATGGTGCACCCGCCCAGTTGCCGTGAAGCTGTGTTCTCCATCCACGCTTCCCGCCAGTCCCTCACAAGTTTCTCACTCACTCCAAACTTTCTCTCTGCTGCTCGATTACCGTTTTCGCCTGAATATTTCACTATTTACAGTGAGACAGCGGCTCTTTCTGCAGGAGACATGTGCAGTAGAGTGAAGTGACAGTGGTACAGGAGGAACAGGAGCAGCAGATACTCACACACGAGACTGGAGCCTCTCGTGGCTGTCAGTCTGAAAATGTTATTATATAAATCGCATCAGAATATAAGTCGTTGGAAACACCCAAACTGTGAAAAAAAGTACGACTTATAGTCCAAAAAATACAGTAATACATATGAGGGGCATCTGAAATGAATATTGTTAGAATGCAGATTTTGTTGTAATACAGTGAGGTGCATGTTTAGTCACTCACTTAGCTTCAAGATTTGTGCGTTCACCTTTTAGATATTTCATGGCAAAGCACATTGTAGTCATTAGGGAAATTTGTCTCTTGCCTCCATCTGGGACTATAACATAATCTCATTCTGGAATCTGAAAAACACCTGTAAGATCTAAACATTTGTGAAGCCATAGATTGACAGTTTGCGCATCTCATTCAACCCTTTAAAGTGCCTTAAAAGTGAAATAAATTCATGGAGAACGATCCAAGTGCAGTTAAAAACGCTTTATTTGAAAACTGTAGTAACATTCTGACTGAGTGGCAGTGAGGCAGAACTATGAGCTGCACAACAGACTAAATGTGTTTCTTTGCTTTCTTTGGCCTAATTTTGGTCCATGGAAACTGAAAGTAGTTTCTCCAGTGTTGCTCAGACTGCAGTGTTGAGAGTAACGTGTTATGAAAGTGACGAATTACTGTAATGCATTGCTTTTTGCTGTAACGTAGTAATGTAAGGCATTACATGGGAAAAAAACTAATATTTTACTCAGTACAAATGTCAGTAACAAGCGTTACAATGTTTTTTTAACCTGGATTTGAAGTGGTGGGTTTTTTGTTTTTCTTCATACAAATTCACTTAAATCACTGCGATATCAGCAGCGGGGAAACGCCGGAGGTGCACCCATATAGACCATCGGGGGACCTCGAGCGAAAGGAGCGGCGCAGAACTCCACGCTCCACGGAGCTAAACGCAGCTGATGCCTGATCGTGCTCGGGAGTTCTGTCAGGGGTGGTCCTGGATTCCAAGTTTTAGTCCAAGATTAGTCCTGGTTTGATCCTGGTTTAGTCTTGGTTTAGACATGGTTTAGTTCTGGTTTAGTCCTGGTTCAGTCCATATACGGCGCAAAAGTTCAGCATCTTCACAGTTATTTTGGTGAGAGTAACTTAAAAGTGCTGCAATAGTAATGTAATGTTTTACATTTTAAATGCAGTAATATTGTAATGTAACTAATGACTTTGAAATGACAGGAACAAGTCATAAATAACACATTACAGTTTTAAAGTCACTTGCCCAACAGTGTGTGCCTGTGCAGAGTGTAGCTGGCATGTTCACTAACGACAGAGGGAGATAAAGTACACAATTTGCCCTACAACAGTTAATCTCCTCAGCACACGCACTTAGAAACATGTGATTAAGGAGAGGAAGGTTCATTTCAGCTGCGTCTGATCCAAAGTCTGTATCAGTGAATAATGTGAGTGTAGCCTGCAGTGTCCCTGTTGTTTCACTATTCACTGATTTAATAGCGTTGATTGGGTTTTCTTATTTTAGATTTTTAGATTTTTTTTTTTTTTTTGCCACACATTCTAAAAATGTGGAAAGATGCAATGTCATAAGTAATCGCAATTATATATAACTATAGATATATCCTCGATAAAAACAGTCTTTTTATTATATACATCTGGCTGGTAATGGCCGACATAACTTACTGTGTTGAGATTTGGGGCAATACATATAAGACTAATACAAGTCCAGTCTTTATGTTAAAAGGGAAATGCAGTAAGAGCATCACATTATCAGCTTATAATGAATCAACCAATGCATTATTTATAAAGCTTCAAACTCTGAAATTTGTCAGTTTAGTCGACCTTTATACTTTGAAAATCATGTTCAAAGTAAACAACAACCTCTTGTCAAAATCATTACAGAATATGTTCAAAATCTGAAATAGCCGATATGAGCTCAGAGGTGTGGTAATGTTTATCAAAAAGAAAATCAGAACAAACATTATGAAATTGTGTAAATCTGTTAAAGGGCTGCAGTTCTGGAGCAACTGCACAGAAACTGTAAAACTGTGCACCACTCTGTTCCATTTTATAAAGAAGTTTAAATGTTTAACTCTGAGCAGATACACGAATTATGATAGTTTGTGCTGTACTACTTTGTTATACTGTTACTGATTTGTTTGTTTCCTCTTGCTGTATTTATGAATTTGAGCTGCTTTCAAGATGACGCTCTGACAAAGGAATAAAGAGTAAAGCTCAAGCTTCAGCCGACACCTTTTCTGTCAGTGTATGTTAAATATGAGTGTCTGTGATTTATGTCAGAATAAACCTGTGACCCAACTAAATGAATCAATCATCTGCATAACCTCTATACACAGCCAGCAGAGTACTGCACTCACTGAAGGAGCAGCAGCATTTCGTCTTAACAGAGGAGCCTGTGTTGACTCGCCAAAGTCTTAAAACAAAATGAACAAAAAACAACAAAAATGTGGTTTACAAATGATACTTAATGCTTGTGTTATAAACATAAGCAGCATTTGATCAGTAGAGGCAGTAACATGACATGTATACTCCAAAAGACTCCAAAAAATGAATTCAATAAAATCTAAACCTGTGGATTATTGAACAGCTGACAAAGTTAAGATCAAACATTTTAAATAATAGGTAACCAACGCCCCTGCAGTGTTAGTGTGAGAAAAATGCTCTTTAATCCCATTAGCTGACTTCATGTCTGATGGATTGTCCCGGTTAAATAAAGGCCAGTAGATAAATATACTGAGAGGACACACATTGTAGAGAGTCCTTTTAGGTTTAGTGCCAACTGGTTTTAGTCGTACAATCTGGCAACAAAAGTAAGCTTTCTGGAAACTTTTACATTTTAAAATTATATTATTTTAATACTCTTTCAGTAAAAGCATTGGACTTCATATCTGAGGATACACATTACATATAAACATATTATAGGTAATGTTTATGAATGATCTGTTTGAGTCATTTTTTGAAGGTTTAGGCCAAAGTTCTTCTCAGGTTATTGTAACATACTGTGTGTTTATTGCTCAGGTGCTCACTGTGATGTCCACTGAGCCGAGCTCGCTGAAGGGAAACACGTCTCATCTCCACCATGGCCCGGCCACTCCACTGTCCAAAGGTTTGTACCACTCCCTCTCACACTGATGACTAAGAATTCATCAAAGGTGCCACTCCACAATCCACCACTTTCATGTCTCCATGGAGATGTTATTGTTTTGCCTAGAAAGTTACACATTATAACACTAAACATTTATGTTCATGGAGACAAGCAGGTGACAGCCCCAAGTAAACTTGTAGGTTACATCTGTGAAGAGGAAAGCCTGCTCACACGATGCATGTTTTTCTTTCTTATTTTGTATTTTTAGTCAGTAAACATCTGTAATTAAATAAATAAAATATTAATTTAATATGAAACTGTGGAACATTCCAGGTCATTTAAATTAATTATTATAAGTGGTCTCTTTCCCAGATAAGCCCCCGGCCTCAAATGCATCTCCACCGCCCAGCCAACCATCAGTGTCCAAGAGTCCATGTGTCCAGTCTCCTGCTGTTACAGAGGACGTGAAGAAGCAGCAGACTGCTCCAGGTGAGCCCGTGTAGAGCAGCGGACACATGAGCTAATGCTTGAGACGTTTCAAGATATAATTAACAACACTGTATTAATTAATCTTTTGTTTTGATTGTTGAATTCAATCATTTCTGGCATATCACCAAGCCCTAAAACCAGTAAATAGGTAGCATACATAGACACTTATGATAACATTTGAATAGTTCTAGTTTCCCTTAAGTTGGTTTGACAATTCCACTTCATGGTCCACTCTTTGGAGATGCCTTTATCTGCACATAATTTTACGTTTAAGTCAAACAATTTGACACAGTATTGTAATTATTAATTGGATTACTTTTTACTTTACTTGAGGAATACATCAACTATTCAACACGTCTTTGGTATGAAATAAAAGACTGCAATATTATTTCTTGCTGATCATCTGTCCACAGCCCAAAGCTCCACAGTCCCCGGCGCCCCTCTGAAGCAGACAGTGAAAAGCACTCCTCTCCCCAGCTCCACGGAAGAAGTGAGCTTTGAGAAGATCTACCAATACCTCAGTGCCCTCCACCAGCCCGACCTGCTGCGCAAGCTCAGCCCTATGGGTAAGAGACTGGAAGTGTATTCTGTGTCCATTCAAACACAAATGCAACAATACCATGTCTGTGTCACAGTGTTTTACAAAGCTTACTCTTACCTTAAGCCTATTTAAGAAAAAAAGAAAAAAATAATCTAAACCTGTACTATTTATGGTTTTACAGGACTTTTTTTTCTACAGTGTGTTAATTAAATAAACTCAAATATAAACCCCTTTTTTCCACTACCTAACAATAATGGACAACTCAGCTCAGCTCAGTTGTTGGCTGTGCCCTAGGGCAACACACTTAAACTGTCTTGCCCCTAGTGTCAGAGCTTTGAATGCCTTGAAGGTGGAAAAGCGCTGTATAAAAATATAACTTTTTCCTCTCTGTAAACCTCCAGACCCCCCCCCCCCCCCCCCGTCCTCCTCCTCACTTTCCCTTTAGTCCTCCAGGCCACGCCCCCTCCTCCCCCTTACTCTCCCCTTTAGTCCTCCAGACCCCGCCGCTCCTCCCCCCTCACTCTCCCCTTTAGTTCTCTAGACCCCCCTCACTCTCCACTTTAGCCCTCTCACTCTCCCCTTTAGTTCTCTCCGCTTTAGTCCTCCAGACCCCGCCCCTCCTCCCCCTCACTCTCCCCTTTAGTCCTCCAGACCCCACCCCTGATCCTCCCCCCTCACTCTTCTCTTTAGTCCTCCAGACCCCGCCCCTCCTCCCTCTCCCCTTTAGTCCTCCAGACCCCGCCTCTTCTCCCCCCTCCCTCTCCCCTTTAGTCCTCCAGACCCCGCCTCTTCTCCCCCCTCACTCTTCCCTTTAGTCCTCCACACCGCCGCCCCTCCTCCCCATTAGAAGCATGACTTACATTACTGTTGTTTTGTGCTTGTTTCTCCAGAGAGTGCAGTAGTGCTGGACCTCCTCATGTCTCTCCCAGAGGAGCTCCTGGTTCTGGACTGTGACCCACTCATCCAGCACATTACCCAGGTCCTTTACAGACTCCTCGGCATCACACCTGCATTTACTGTCATGTCCGGACTATTGAGCGCACCTGAATATAAGTCACATCAACTCCATTTTAAAGGGCCCATCTCTCAAAATAACTCTTTTCATATTGTATCTTCTGCACATAAACAAGCACAATTTGGGTTTTGGAACATCCATTACACAATAGTTCTGAAATCTTACTGATTTCTTGGAGACAGTCACAGACCAGGAACTATGAAAAACCGACTATTGCTCATCCCCCCGCCCTCCCTGAGAAAGCACAAGTTCCGCCCTCCAAACGTGACGTACGCGCCGAGTGAGCCGCCCTTCCTCCGCCCATCTCAGGGAGGGAGGGGGAGACAGGCGTGCACCCTGATAGTGGTAGGAATAAACTTTTATTCATCATGGAGATACAGCGCGTTCAGACGCATGTGTTGGACCCGGAATCGGACGAGGACTTTGAGGAGCACGAAGCTCAAGCACCGCGTCCACATCAGCTGAACATTACTGATTGGTAAAGCATTAATAAACACTAGTAGATAAACTTATGATATCGTGTTCACTGCAGTGTAGAACAATGAGCTTATGCTGTCGCTTTTGTTTAGGTGTTCATGTGGGAATTGTCAGTCGATGCAGGGTGGAGGCGGGGTGGAGCAGGGGGAGGGGGGGCGAGTGCGAAGCGCTTTCTGCTACATCAAACGCGTCATAGGTGTATCTGCTGCGTCATCGTTGTAACTGCTTGAGTTCGTTGTCACGTGGGAGGGGGGCAGAAATACACTGCAATTTGTTTAAAAAAATGGCTAAAAAATCTAAAAGACACTTGGGTGACAAATACAAGGCCCACACATCATTCTTAGAAGGTAGAAAGCTCTGAAAAGTTGATTTTGCATGAGATGGGCCCTTTAAAAGCCAAAAAAACAAATTGTACCGATATAGGCCACAGTTGTCTATAAGAATTAAATAAAAGTATCTTTACTTGCTTTATTCCTAATCAAGTAAAAGTAAAAGTAACCATCTACTCAAGTAAAAAAAGTACTGCATTTAAAATGTAATTTGACTAAAAGTTACTTAGTTACTTTCAGTTATTTGATGTAAAAAAGAATGAATCATAAATGTAATCCAGCAATAGTCATTTTAATCAACTTTTAGGTGATACAAACAAACTTTGTTCAGTGCAAACTTTGTACATTTTAAAAACAAATGAGCTCACAAACACTTAGTAACACTGAGTTCTTCTTTTTATAGAACTTTATAGAACTTAGAACTTTAACTGCATAACAAAATTAACAAATTAAACGAATTAACAATGTAACAAATTCTGAATTCTCTGGCTTATTGCTCTCTTCTCCAGAATTATTCAATAAACCTTCTTGAATATAAAGGGGCAGTCAGTTGAGTGTGTGGATTCCTGTAAGTATCTAGGAACACTCAATAATTCAAATTTCACTTTGGTGATAATTGTACTACTGTGTGTAACAGAGGCACCAGCTCCTTCATTGTCTGAGGAAATTGTCCTTTTACCATGTAGATAGAACCATGATGTTCTAAAAAACATTTGGTTTTCACGTTTTCATTGGTCTCATGGTTTGGGAGCATCTCTGCTAAAAACAAGATCTCCCAGAATCAGTTGGTTAAATGGGCGAGTAGGTGATTGTTCATCCTCAGAGCCGCCCCGACTCTTTGTACTCAAGACACTTACAGAGGACGTCCCAGAGGATTATAAAAGACATGCAGCATCCACTAAACTCAGAGTTTCAGCTGTTTCCCTCTGGTCAGAGGCTTTTAGTCCCAAGATCTTGGATGGATGAAACACTGTAACGCTTTATATTGTAACTGTGTTTTTGTTCGTGTTGTAGATAATGTGGATGAGTGAGGTGTGAAATGTGGGACCTGCCTCTCAAATCTGCAAAAAAAATTTACCTATGGGTACAAATAACGCAACCTAATCTAACCTTGAATATCTTCCATGACGACCTTGATCTGTGGCTCGGCACCACCATGATCCAAGTTGATTCAAGACAGACGGTTCTGTACAGAGACTGAACATTTTACAGTGAAGATGCCGCTCGTGCAGCCTCAGTTTACTTTCATTTCTGGCAGAGTGGGATTTATTTTTTTATTTTTTTTCGCATTTCATTTTTTTCCTCTATCTGATTTCACTCATTAACGAGGGCAGGTTCCAGTGTACTGAAGTAAAATACTTGGGTCAAAATATACGTGAGCTATTTCAAAAACTACTTAAAAATGACAAATTACTCATAAAAACTACTCAGTTACAGTAACGTGAGTAAATGATTCGTAAGTAAATTCGTTACTTTCCACCCTTGATCTGATAAATTATTTCTGCCTTTGTTTTTTTGGATTTCAGACATACCACAATCTTTCATTGGACGCTGACAAAAAGGTGAAACAACAAAAATCCTCAGGAGTACCACCCCCAAACCACCAACCACAACCAACCGGACCCCCAGAGCACCAACTACCACCAACTGGACCCCCAGAGCACAAACTACCACCAACCGGACCCCCAAACCACCAACCACAACCAACCGGACCCCCAGAGCACCAACCACCACCAACCGGACCCCCAAACCACCAACCACAACCAACTGGACCCCCAAACCACCAACCACCACCAACCGGACCCCAGAGCACCAACTACCACCAACCGGACCCCCAAACCACCAACCACAACCAACTGGACCCCCAAACCACCAACCACAACCAACCGGACCCCCAGAGCGCCAACCACCACCAACCGGACCCCAAACCAACCAACCACCACCGACCGGACCCCCAGAGCGCCATCCACCACCAACCGGACCCGCAGAGCTCCAACCACCATCAACCGGACCCACAGAGCCATCCACCACCAACCGGACCGCCAGAGCGCCAACCAACACCAGCCGGACCCCCAAACCACCAAACACAACCAACCGGACCCCCAAACCACCAGCCACAACAAACTGGACCCCCAGAGCACCAACCACCACCACCCGGACCCCCACAGTGCCAACCACAACCAACTGAACCCCCAGAGCGCCAACCACAAACAATCGAACCCCCAGAGCGTCAACCACAACCACCCGGACCCCCAAACCAGCAACCACCACCAACCGGAACCCCAGACCACCAACCACAACCAACAGGACCCCCAGAGCGTCAACCACAACCACCCGGACCCCCAAACCAGCAACCACCACCAACCGGAACCCCAGACCACCAACCACAACCAACAGGACCCCCAGAGCACCAACCACAACCAACTGAACCCACAAACCATCTGCCCCATACAGCTGGAACCACAATCCACCACCAAGCCCCAACCAGACCCACAGAGACTGAAGGGGACCGAAGCCGCCAGAGTACCACCAGACTGAGACAAAACGCTCCACTCAACCCTTTCCTCATTCCGGTCAGCCTGATGTCCCGTAAGGCGCAGACAGGCCACACGTGATACTGCTTAAGTGTTAGTACCAGGGTTTGTATGGTCATGAAAATCCTGGAAAAGTCATGGAATTTTCATGCAACTCCAGCGTTCTGTTAAGTTCTCATTAGACTATTTATTATTTCTGAACGTCTGCACCTTTTGTTTAAAAAAGACAACAATAAATGCACTGACAGGATTTTGAATGTTCTAAACTTTAATCCCAAACCATAAAGTGAGTGAAAAGGGTTTAGCCCTAAAAGTCTGATCAAATTCTACACATGTAGGTGCTGTAAAGTCATGGAAAATTCACTTTAGGTCATGGAAAAGTCTGGAAAAGTTTTGAACCCTGTACTAGTGTAGTTTAGAAAAAAAAATGATACTTTCAACATGATTTCAACAAAATAAAGGTGTTTTCTTGTATTTTATTTGTCAAAAATGAATTCCTGTGTACATCAGAGGAGTTTTGGTCCAGTATACGTGGTTGCTCCTAGTGTCATGATGATAGTCATGACTTCCAGTCAGGAAGTAACGTTTTGATAAATCATTTGAGATAATAACTTTAAGTGCCATTATATTATTGTATGACACACTTTATGATCTGTTTCCAGACTCTTCTGCACTTGAACAGATAGTGGGAGGGACTGACTGGTCAGGCAATAAACCATCCACATCGGACTATACTTAAAGATAAACTATGTATTTCTTTTTCTTTAGGCAGCACCTGTACAAATCCATGGAAATTGAAAGTTAAAAACACGGCTTGAAACATTTTCCGTGGGTTAGGTGTTTGCTCACAGTTTAAGACAAAATGACAAATAAAACATGCTTGAATATTAATGAAAAGTTACATACTGTAGCTTTAAATATCAATACTGACATCCAGTTACTGTATTTTCTGCACTATTAGGCGCTCTGGATTAGCACTGTCATTATAAATGGTCTATTTTCGAACTTTTTTCACAAATAAACCGCACCGGGCTTTACACAACAGGGCTTTGTTTGTTCAGTTGTGTAGTTGCTGTGAAGTTGTCGTGCTGATGTTGTTCAGTTAGAAGCACATTGCTGCTTTAGTGTGAGTGATTGTATATCTAGATTCGCTCTGGATTGTGGGGCGCTCAGTCGTACTTGAGTTGGAGATGTAGACACGTGATACTACTGTAGACAAGTGTTACTGCAAATTGCTAAAGGCGTTGTACCTTATTTTTTCTGTGTATTTAAGAAAAACTAGTTAGCCCAGTACTTATATATATTGTATAAGCACAGCTGTGTCCAGTTTGGATCCAATTTCAAAGTGTTTTGTCCTTTGAAGAGCTGTAAGTACATTGTTAGCATGCTAGTTGTTGTTGGCATGACTGAGCTCTAGCCTCTGAGAGTTGTGAGAGGCGCTTATAAACTCATTACGGTGAATAATGAGGATGCTCTGAATGAAGGTTCTGTTTTGAAGACCGTAAAAATCGGGTGCAGCGCCTTAAAGCTATGTTCAGATGGCTGTAGTTTACAGTAGTGTTTTGCTCATGGGCACAACTGTATTTTAATTGGACTGAGATGAGTCTGTGGATGGATGTGTCCCTGAAAGCTCTGGCTCTTTTTGTTCTGTTAATTTGAATTTTTTCATTTAATCATTGTTTTATTGTTTATTGTTGTTTATTGCTTATTTAAATCATTTGCATCTGGGGAACTTTTAAATGCCAAATAAAACAATTAAGAATTATTTACAGCAAATGCTCATAACTTAAGCCATTCAAATAATAAACAAGTAGCCATAGTGTAGTCAGATAAATACTGTAATTGGGCCACATTTTGGTAAATCACAGGGTGTTTCCCAGTTCCCAGTATCCTCGGCTTCTGAACATTTCACACAGATTCACGTGATCAGAGCTCCGCCGAGTGGTGTTCCAATTCCCCCAAAGTCCTCACACCCTCCACGCTCCACTTTCCCGTTTGGCTCTTTTACCCAGGATGCCCGGGTGGATCTTTGGCTGCCTCGGAGCGCTGCAAATTGCCCACAATGCACTGCAATTTCATTTTTAAACAAACTTTATTTAAGTAGTAAAATGCATCTGAATCAAATAAAACTCATTCTACTATCAAAAGAAGTAAATATTTTGTTATTTTAGCCACATTACTGCAGATCACACTATTCTCAGATCAGTGAATTCAAATCAGGACAAATGCAGCAAAGTCTCTTCAAGGAGATTAGGAAAACAAATAGTCTATAATCTGAAAATGTTTCAGCCTGTGTATTTATTTCTGTAGACTAATTAACCTAAATAACTCAATAACACATGATTCACTCAGCTTTTATTATTATTGAATAATATTAATGCATCAGTTTTATATAGTGCTTTTCTGGACACTCAAAGACGCTTTACAGATCATTATTCAGTCACTCCATACCCAGTGGTGGTAAACTACTATTGTAGCTACAGCTGCCCTGGTCAGACTGACAGAAGTGAGGCTGCCAATCTGCGCCATCGGCCCCTCCAACCACCACCAACACTCACACACACACCACTTTCATACTAGGCAGTGTGGGTGAAGTGTGACAGTTTGTTCCCACTGGCGCTCCTCTGTGGCTCCTGATTTTCCCAGGTTTCCCACCAGGCCCAGTCCTGCTGAACTTCAGAGATCTGATGGATCAGGCTTTGACATGATTGATTGGCCACAGATTTTCATGTCTTAATGCCCGTGACACATGAAAACATCAGAACACTTGATATTTGTAGAAATATTGATGATTGATTAAAACTCTTGAGTTTTATGGTGTTTGATTTGGTCACGTGACACGGTGCCGTCGCTCTCCTCAGAGGAGTGCTACAAAGTGGTTTTTGGAGCAAAGATCCTGGGAATTGAGAAACACCCACAATGTTGAAAATGACAGGAAGTCTAGAATTCTGTGTTAGAGAGTCCCACACTGGTGACATCACACTGGGATAATTTTGTCCAGAAGTTGTGTAAAGCACAGTTTACACAAGAAACACATTTTTCTGGTACTTTAAACATGATTTCAACAAAATAAAGGTGTTTTATTTTATTTTTTAAATATTAATTCCTGTGTAAATTAGAGGAGTTTTGGCCCAGTGTACCATATTTTCTGCACTATAGGGCGCTCTGGATTATAAAGTGCACTGTCATTAAATGGTCTATTTTCAAACTTCCATCCATCCATTTTCTTCTGCTTATCCGGGGCCGGGTCACGGGGGCAGCAGTCAAAGCAGGGACTACCAGACTTCCTTCACCCCAGACAACCTTTCAAACTTTTTTCACATATAAACCTCTCCAGACTATAAGGCACATTAAATGAAACACAACAGTGTGATGGGTGAGTGGTTTTGTTTGTTTGTGACGTTCACGGTGACTCTGGGCTTTGTTCAGTTGTGGCGTGTAGGGAGGGTGCTGTCTGGGACCAACGGATTGTCGGCGTGTTCGTACTGACTCAGTTGTGTCTAGAAGTGGCACATTGCGCTCGCTTTTTCGGTTCGTCACTCCGTTCCATTCCTCGTCGGCGTGGAGTGATGAGTGTGTCTGTGGGTGTGTTTCGCTGCGCGGTCGCTGTCTGCTCCGTGTGTGTTTGCGTTCACTGCGGGTGGTGCGGCTTTATAGTCAGTGTTGGGAAGGTTACTTTTAAAATGTATTCCCCTACAGATTACAGATTACATACCCCAAAATGTAATTTGTAACATAATCCATTAAATTATTTTAAGTGAGTAACGTAATCTGAATACTTTGGATTACTTGATTTGCTGTAGAGAAGCAAAGACCAGGAAATCGTAACATAAGATGTTTTGTCTGATAAAAGAAAATAAAAAGCCCAGACTTTACTTAACCAAAGTTAAAATATTATTGATAGAAGAGGAGGAAACACGTCTGCGCAGCATGGTTTAGTCCTGTTAAATCCTGCTTTAGTCCTGCTTTAGTCCTGGTTTAGACCTGGTTTAGATCTAGTTTAGACCTGGTTTAGTTTCTGGCAATGAGTGGAATTACTGAGAAAAAAAAAAAAAAAGTGAAAACAGGAAAATACCGCCGTGTAATCCATTTATTTCAATAAAGTAACTGTAATCCAATTACCACTCAATGAAACAGTAACTGTAACTGAATACAGTTACTCATAATTTGTACTTTGATTATGTAACTTCAGTACATGTAATCTGTTACTCCCCAACACTGTTTGTAGTTTACTGAAGTCGTGCTGGGACACCCTGGCGTTCTGGATTGTGGGCACACAGTCATTTTTTGATGGGGTTGGAGGCTTAAGAGTGCGTCTAATAGTCTGGAAAATACGGTACATGGTTGCTAGGTAACAGTTATATAAGTCCCTAGTTTGATGTTATGATTTCCAGCCAGGAGGTAATTTTGTAACACTTATGATAAATCAGTTGAGATAATAACTTTAGGCGCCATTATATTTACTGAGGGCTGTTAATAAAATGTTGGAATGAAATTGAGGAAATAAAATCCAACAAGTTAGGACGTGTGCCACTCAGACCTTTGACACACTTTATGATCTGTTTCCAGACTCTTCTGCACTTGAACAGAAAGTGGGAGGGGCTGACTGGTCAGGCAATAAAACATCCACATCGGACTATACTTAAAGCTGCAGTATGGAACTTTCTGGAGGCAGCACCTGCACGAATCCACAGAAATCGAAAGTTAAAAACACGGATTGAAACATTGAAACACTCAGTTTTAAGACAAATTTTTTCAGTGTTTCAGTGCAAAAAAACTAAACAAACCATACCTGAATATTACTGAACAGTTACATAACGTAGCTTTAAATATCAATACTAACATCCAGTTACTCAGTAGTACTTGAGTTGTTTGAGTAACTGTTTTCCGCCCACCTTTAGCCAACAAAATCTATGGGGTTTCCTACAGGAGTTGAAAAAATGCATTCCTCCCACTAAAGTGCACGTGAGGTTTTGACGATTCTCTCATTTTAACTTTATTTAAATTGGGATGAAGTTATTCAGATAAAGATATTAAGTTGGGATAAATACAAGTGATAGTTTTACACAAATCAAGAATCA